CGTCCTCCCAGCACGCACCATTGCGCATTTCTCGGCCGCGTGTCGCAGACATTCGACTGGCGTATGAATGTGGCATGCGAGCGCGCAAGGGGCTCGTCGCAGTGACGACGCACGGGGGAGACGTTCGAAAGCGTCCAGCCTCGGGACCCTGCGGTCTCGCCTGACTCGGATTGCTCTCGCGTCCTCACGTCGGTGTTACGCTAAAAAGCCGTCCGGAGAATGAAGAAATATGTTGCTTTGAATGTGAGTAGTACAAAGAAATCATGAGAGTGGGATCAAAGGATGCAAGATATCATACCTCAGAACCATACGTCCCGTCCAGCACCGCCTCGTCCAACGGTGCCTCGACACCCGTAGCGATGAAGGCCCGCCGCCGCACGTTATAGACTGGCGAGTCAGCACGACGACGTGCTTCTGCGAGGCAACGCTCGACGATGATTGTCTTCTTATCGTCGTACCAAGTCCGCACCGTGTTCGTCTTCAGCTCGTTGCCGTCCAGCACGCCGTCTCGAAATCCTGGCCATCATCGACATACAGCCGGTCCCGTGCGGCGTGCTCGGCATGCGTCTCGACGACCGCGAGTCGGCGGGTTGAGTGCCAGTGCCGGCCCGCTGCAAGGGCGAAACCCAAGACGTCCGCCCGTCTCTGCGTGTTGAGGCTGCATGGCTCCGAAGCACGTTCACGAGGGCGTATCGGACGGCGGGGAGACGAACGCACGGTGCTCGAGGGGGAGCCAGAGACGCGATGGTGGTGTCGTCAGCGGGGAGGGCGACGATGTGCGAAATGGCATGTCTTCGGTCCCGTACTTGTGAATGGCGTGCAGATCGGACTTTGCAGTGAGAGCGCGCAGCACCGTACTCCAGTCGACTTGTTATCACAAGCAACTGCGAGGAGCGGACCGGCCATCGGCGTGTTGGTGGCTGCCTGAATGGTGTCGACGACGGTGTGGATGGTGAGCGTGCACATAGCGTGGTGTCGTCGCAAGGCGTTGTCAAGAACGAGCACGGCGGGCGAGGTGGATGTGCACTGGGTGAAGAACAGACACGCGCGGCGGGTGCAGGTGAGTACGAGTAGCTACGGACAGTGCAGTATAGCCAGACACAGGTGAGCATCCTCTGCATGCACGAAGAGTCCACTGCATGGCGTACCTGGTCGTGCATCGGCAAACGTCCACGGTCTTTAATACCTCGTCAACTCTGGACCGCCTCCGTCGCCCTGACACAAACGGGCACCTTGTGCTGGAGAACGCAAACCAGACGGCCTGCGCGTTTGCGACTGGGAGACCGAGCGGTCGCGGCTGAACGCACCTCTGCTGATCGCCCACCTCTTGTCCGAGAGGAGCGCGCCGAGCTCTGCGTGGTCTCTGACGGTGGACGAGGCTGTGGGTGAGCGAGCTCGGGTGTGGGGGCTTGAGACGGACGTTGGGCATGGATGCGAAGGAGGACGGCTGAGTCGAACGAGGACAGACACTCAAGGCATCGTGAGCGTTCGATGATCGTGAGCACCGCTGGCATGCGATCAAAGCAGTCGTGTCTCGAAGCCAGGGCTGAAGTGGTGCGTGTCACGCGCCACTGGGAATGATCGCATATCGCTGTTTGGACATGGAATCCTCGTTACAGAGCGCCAAATAGAATCAAGCGTCGGCGCATAGAAGGAGTAAGTACGCATGATCGCGTAGGGACAGCTATCAGCAGTGGAGGTGCTCCGACGCGAAGTCCACGTCGGACGAGATCAATCTCAGAGTTTCGTCTCCGAGCTCTCCCAGCCAATCGTGCGGCGGTTCAATCCCCGGCAACATCCCGAGACGGCATCTAAGGTGCGCTCCGTGGGGTATCATATCATGAATCTGCACGGCAAGCATGGCGCGATATAAACCCATCCATCATCAGGGCATGCTCCTTGTCACCATCTCTCGCTATCTTTCTCGCCATGACTCACGCGCGCGACGAAGAGGCCACCCTCGCCGAGGAGAACGTGAACCACGTCGTCCTCCGGAGCCTTGAGGACGTCACGGAACCCGTGGACCCGCGCCTTAACCCCGCAGACAGACCGGACAACGAGGTCCTCGACGAGAACTATGTACAGCAGCTCGAAGACTACATCCACCACCGAGACCACCATCTTCACAAGGAGGGCTTGCATGAAAAGGAAAAGTCGGAGGACTTTTCCCTGGAACCTCTCTATATCGAGTTCGAGAAGGGCGACAAGCAGGATCCTGCGAACTTTTCTCCGGCGCGGAAGCAGGCAATCCTGCTCACCGCGTGCCTGTTCTCCGTCCTTGTCGGTGAGTGAATTGCTTCCAGCAATAAACGTATTGCATGCTGACAGGTTATTCAGCATCCTCTTCGGGATCATACGCGCTCGGTTTCACGTCAATGACGCGCGATCTGAATTGCACGGATTTCCAGGCTACTCTCGGCATCTCACTATATTGTCTTGGATTTGGTGTAGTGCCTCTTGTCACCGCGTCATTCAGCGAAGAGTTCGGTAGACAGCCATTGTATCTGTGCAGTGGGATTGGTTTCCTGCTTTTCACCATTGCTACGGCAGTGTGAGTACCTTTGTGGCTCGACTCGTAATCATCGATGCTTAAGATGATTTCAGTGGCAAGAACATTCAAACAGTCCTGATAGCGCGTTTCTTTGCGGGCGCCTTTGGTTCAACGGGTTCGACCATGGTGGGCGGCACCGTCGCTGACATCTTCTCTACACGAGAGTACGTCCCATTTCACTGGTGTGCGCTTACAACATACTGAGCGCGACGCTCCTTTGTAGACGTGGTGTAGCAATGGCTTCCTTCGCCGCTGCTGCCATCGGCGCAACCGGCGTTGGGTGCCTTGCCTCCGGCTGGATCGAGCAGAACCCGCACCTCGAATGGCGCTGGATTCAGTGGATACATGCTATGTATGGTAGTATCCTCCCTATTCTCCATGCTTCTAGTCCTGAAGCTCTCTGCATTTTAGCTTCACGGGCGTGTTCGTGGTCGCTGTGCCGGTTTTTATGAAGGAGACGCGTGCGTCGGTGCTGCTGGTGCGGTTGGCGAAAAAGATGCGCAAGGAAACCGGTGACAAGAGAATCCGTGCGCGTATTGAGGACGAGCGTGCGTCGCTGGGTACACTCATCTATATCTCCTGCACGCGTCCGATCTGTGAGTAGATCTTTCCCATGCGACGAAGGTGCTGTTCGCTTACGCCAAGATTCACGTGTTAGATCTGCTATTGACTGAGCCTGTGATTGCGAGCTTCACGGTGCGTTGTGGGACTTCTCTGCCTTCTAGCTCTGCTGATCACCATTTGATATGCAGTTGTGGGTCGGATTCGCATGGGGAATCCTTTACGTCATGATAGAGTGGGTCACGTTCTCCCTGATCGGTGGAATGCCAGACTGACTATAATGTCGCCTAGGGCCATTGGTCCCGTCTTCCGAACACTGCATCACTTCAACGCGGGCGAGGAGGGTTCGGCGTTCATCACCATTACGTACGTGGTCTAGCTCGACAGAGGTGTTCAACTACTCACAACTTGAACTACTCACAGGATAGGTGCCATGCTTGGCTTGTGCACGAATGTGATTCAGGAGAAGATGTATAGGTACGTCATGCTGTTGTGAATTTAAACGATGAGCTTAGCCCACAGTCGCCGTTGCACAGTAAAAACGTTGCCACTCGAGGACCAGAAGCGCGGCTGTATGCGCCAATGGCAGCCGCCATCCTCTTCCCGATTGGCATGTTCATCTTCGCCTGGTCGACGTACACTCAGGTGTACTGGATCGCTCCGGCGATCGGCATTGTTGTACGTACGCCGCCATTCCGTTGCGGACTAGCGGATCCTCACCCCTAGCTCGCTGCAGCTCATCATGTGGGCACTGTTCATCATCTACCTCGCCGTGTTCACCTATCTTGCGGACTGGTACGTACCTCTTTCAATGTCCCTACCACCTCTCCGCTCACCAATTGCTTTCGATTGTAGCTACGGCACGTTCGCGTCATCCGCGCTCGCCGGCCAGAGTCTCTTCCGGAACCTGATGGGCATGGCGTTCCCGATGTTCACGACGCAGATGTTTGCCAGGCTGACGTACCACTGGGCGAACACGCTGTTCGCGCTCATCGCAGTGGTCATGATCCCGATCCCGTTTGTGAGTATCGTCCTTCGCTGTGTAGTGGGATTGGTTTGTTCATTGGTTGCTGCAGGTGTTGTTCTTCAAGGGCCCGGCGATCCGTGCACGCAGCAAGATAGCTTCGCAGGTCATGCATATCTAATGGCGAGACCGCTGTCTTGGGACAACGCTCCGTCTAACCCGAGGTGGTCATCCCCACCTGTCATCACCAACACTAGGCGGCCGAGCGTCATGCGGGGACGCACACTAGGTTTTGTCTCCACCGCCGCTCCCATAGGAAGGATAGCAAACTGTACACTAAGCACGCACTGATTCTTGTCGCATGGTCACATATAGATTACTAGCATTCTTGTCATGGCTGCGTTTACGCATAGAGCGTTCTTTTGGACTAGATACCGCCATCCAATAATGCACCGTTTCTGCCTTGATCAAGTCGGCAGCCACGTAAAATATGCTTGAGCGTCCCCCTTTCCTTCATGTCCCACGAATGCGAGTGCATAACACGACGATGAGGACTTTGTTTTCCGATGATATGCAGAGTGACAGGATGAGCGGGATGAGCAACTATGTACGAGGTGAAGAGCTTGCGATGACAACGTATCCGGAGAAGCCGAGAGAGAGAGAGAGAGCAGTGGACATAGGTTATGTTACATAGCTTTACGATGTGGAGAGAACAGCGAGCCGGTGTGCAGATAGAATAGGATACAGTGATGAACAGCAGTGTGGAGAGTCAGAGTACGCGTTTCGGTCGTGTCTTGTCGTGCCGGAGAAATGATTCTAGTATCCATAGGCCTTTCTGGTCGAGGAAGAGAATAAGGAAGTCGTGCAGAGAGAGAGTTACGTGCGCTCCCGCTTGTACATGTCCCGCGCCCGCGCCATGGCCTCGCGAAGCTCGGGTGTCTGCCAGGAGGACTCATCCTCCCGATATCCTGCACCTGCGAAGGCATCGGACTCGACGCGGGGCGAGCGGGCGAAATCAAATGCGAGCTGGCGAGGAGAAGGGGACGAATATGGTGGAAGGCCGCTACTCCACGACGTTCTAGCAGAGCGAGCGTATGAAGAACTTGTTGATTGACCGGTGTCTTCTTCCACCCAGCCTCCTGCGCCGTCGTCTTCTTCGTCTTCCTGCGTTTCACTCATCACTACGACTTCCTTGCCGAGCGCCCGTTGGCCCTCTGCGATAAGCGATGCGAGCCTGTCGTTCATCCATAACACCTGCAGGAAAACGATCAGCCGACATAATTCTCTCGGAGCGAGGAAACGAGCGCACTTGGTCATCCACCTCGGCGTCCATTTCAGGCTCGGTAGGCGTAGTGAACGTGAAGTCGGACGGGATGGACGCGCGGTATGCAGAGATGCTGCTCGAGCTCGCGACTGATACGTGACTCGTGCGCGAAAGGCTCTTGTGATGCCGTGTCGTCCGCCGACTACCAGCAACATAGCGCAGTTTGCGCGAACGTGTAGCGGCTGACGACGATGAGGACGGCGCAACTTGCACAACGTTGGCCGGAATAGGGTCAAGCTGTGAGATTGTCAGGCTTGGTAGTACTGGGCCACCGACGCTCGCGTACCTTTGGTGGCATCCATTCACCTTGCTCGTACGGAGGCGGCGGAGGCGGTGAAGGTAGCTCGAGTCGTGGCTGCTTTCCCCAGTCCTTCCATCTGCGAGTGCCGTTATCAGCGGTGAAAATATGATCTGGATGCTGACGCGTGCACTTACATGCGATACGCGGTGAGGCCCATTGCAGTCCCAATGAGTGCGGCGCTCAACGCAGTTCCTGCGATGGAGCTGACGAGCGTACGGCGACGCTTGGAAGGGGGCAGATCTACTGGCAAGCACTGTGTGAATCCCGTCGTCATGATATGCGAGCGAGTAGAAATGGGTGCATGTATGCGCCTGCTGTCACAAGCGCGCTGACGGGACGGCAGTAAAACACGTGCAGAAGGGACGCTCAACGTCAGAGCAGTAGATCGACAGAACCTCATAAAGCGAGATAGAACCAAGCGGCGTGACCAACAGCATTGGCCCATCCAGAATCACAGTCGAGGGTACATCGACAAAGAATATCGTGCAGCAGGCTTGCAGCTGGCACTTCCTGAGCACTGACGATATCAACAGCATGCATGAATGCAAATGCAGTCCATAAATCAACGCGGATGCAAGCACAGCAGGAGAACTGCACCCTCGCGCGCGAGGCTGTTCCCGCTCCCCCCCCTTTCCCCTGAGTACTCTCGTTCCGGAGGAGGCTCAAAATAGTACTCAGATCGAGACAAGACAGGTTCTCAGAGATCATTGCGTAGAAGTGCGCCATCGAAACGATGCAAATGAAGCTTGGAGACTCACCTGACGTCGGCTCGTCGGTCTGACCGCTGTCAGACGTCTCCATCACGTCCCTGTGCTTCGCGGGAGTCTCGAGGTATCCACTGGTCGAGGCAGGTACCGCAGCAGCGCAGCTTATCTCGGATTCAGAGGGTACCCATCCCCTCTTGCGCGAGATTGGAGGCAAAAGAGAGGGGGAAGGAGGTCGCCGACGCGGTGGTGGCGGACATCCGTCTTTGGCGCTGCCAGCGTCAGATTCAGGCGGAGTTGATCCAAATGCTCTCCGCCTGGAAAACGGGTTGGGTATTTCTGAGACCGAAAACGTGAAGCTGAAAGGAAAGGGCATAGCAAGTTCGAAAGCAAAAGCAGGTGGACCGCGAAGTTGCAGAACGCGATGGAGGAAAGGCCATGTCATCCCTACATAGTCTACATGAGGCGCACGTGACGGCAGCCTCGCGTCCACAACACGTGGAAGCCGCGGCGCCGAATCCATCACAGCCGCCTTGGTTCTCCCCTCCCGTCATCCCTTACATCGCTTGCTGGCCGACACGCTTTATGGTAGCGATTGGTACATTCTGGTTGACTTAGTCGCTTACATTCCCCTTTGTCTCAACCCCAAGGGCATACTGGTTACGCTGATGAACTAAGCTGACGATGCGGTCGGCACCTGTTATGAAAGATACGGCCCACTACTATGAGCTCAGTACGCACGATAATTGGCTCGCTTGTTATGTATGTCAGCCACGAGTTTTTATCAGGCCTCATGACAGGCACACGTCACTCGCATTGTAATCAGGTGTTCGGCGCATGCTGAATGGAGAGAAGACAGGTCCGTTCGTTCAGCATATCGGTGCGTCCTGCGTTGCCACAGCCAGTAAACTTGACCGGTTGACCTGCTTCGTCATATCAAATGCACCATCTTCTAGTACGGGATAACTCCTTTGTCATCAACTTCATTGAGACATCTGATTTCCACCGCCTACTAATAGTATACGGTAACAATTTTTTTTCATCACGGTTTTGCTTCCCGCTGAAGCCCTCCGAAAGTTGTTAAATGCCTCAAAAGCTGGACCTTATGTTAAGCTCTGAGCAGTCGACTTTCATTCAATATATCTGTCCCAGTGCGACGTCCTGGCACGCACACTCTTCCCAGCTCTTCGCAGTGGATCGCTTGATTCGCTTTACTGATTGGAAGCGACCATTCTGGACTTCTTACTGTATACGCAACGTCGGCTCCGTCGGTGATCCTCGGCGCTTCTCCAGATTCCCATTGTTGTCTGGCTGTTACATCTCGATCAGTGCTGCTGAACATTTGCGCCTATGATGGCTGCCAACGATATTCCACGATCAGCAAAGATGCACAAGCAGGCCCAGAAACGAGAGAACGCCAATTACATGCTCGCTACTCCACATGGAATACCAGAAAACCAAGACGCTTCTTGGAGCTAGCCGATGGATGACAATCCCCGCACCATAAAAAGGGCCCCCTTCGGTCTTGCGACTGCCCTCTGATATCTTCCTAGCTATGGCTGGCTCAAGCACAGATGCTCCTTTGAATCTTGACTTTCTCATTGTCGGCGGCGGTACGTCTGGTTTGGGCTCCGCAACGCTTTGCTTTCTTTGCTCGCTCGTGATATCATCCAACAAAGTAGTATCCGAGGTTTGAGCACCCTTGCATGGGCATTTGCTGGCTTTGACTCTTGATGCCTTACCGTATTCGTTCGGGCTTATATCTGCTACAGGAGTTGCTGGCCTGTCCGTCGCGTATGTTTTGGCTGAAGCGGGGCATCGCGTTCGTCTCTTCGAGAAACGTGGAGTCGGCATACCAGCGGGTGGGCTCCGCATACCTCCCAACCTCAGCAAAATCCTCTCTCGGTGGGTAGGCCCTGAAGAGCTTGCTCGGACATCCGTGCCTTGCGTGGGTACTCCTTTCCGCAATCGTGAGTGCCCGTTGCTTTTATTCGGGATATACATCGCCTCCATCATTACGTCTCCTGGAAAAGTTTTCACTTGAACTTCCCGCCGCCTGGCAAAGTTCTGGCTATCATGACGTGCTCCAGAAGGGCCTGCGGTAGAACCGTTCCGCGGCGCGTCCGTTTACGCGCAGTCTTACTATTTATGGGATTAATCTGCTTTGTGCATGGCAAGTGGCGGCGCTTCATATCTGCTGTTTCGAGTCAAGAGGTCCATTTGCGGGATTTTGAAGCGCACCCTGCTCATATATTCGTGCACAAGCCCTACGGATTGTAGCCGCGTCGATTATGACTCCGCACGTTGCCGAAGCCAACGGCGGATCAGCCACGAGCCTATAGAACCACTTATCGGGATTCGACGTCGAACGAAGCGCGCAATCTTGTGACATGGAAATAACCCCACTTGTCTTGCAGTCGAGACGGGAGAAGACGTCGGATTTTTACATTGGAGGCCCGACGTAATGCGAGAAACAGGCGGCGATTTCCTCCTTATGCATGTACGTACTTTTTGCGGCGAAATCGAGCCGATATCACGTACCATTTCACAGCATGAAGACCTCCACCGAATGCTGCACAAACTAGCGAAGAGTGCTGGAGTCCGTATCGACTGTGGGACAAGCGTCGTCGCAGTACATCAAGGCACGGGCAACTCTCCAAGTCCAAGCGTGTCGCTGTCGACCGGAGAACAAGTCACAGCAGACATCGTCATTGGTGCTGATGGTCCGCGAAGCCTTGTACGGAATGTTGTCGTAGGAGACGCGGATGATGCACAACCAGACTTCCTCACAGTATATACTACAACGATTCCTGGTTCCGAAATGAGGAAGGACCCGGAGCTGCTTAAGCTTCTGGAGTCTGACGAGGTACGCTCTTTCTAATTGCAAGCTATCCTCATCCTGACGATGTGGTGCGATGCAGTGGCCCATCTGGATGGGCTCACATCGCAGTGTCTGTGGTGTGTACCATGCTGCTTGAATTTTATCTTATTCATAACGTAATGACAATCCTCCGCTCTCACCAGCACATCCAGTAGTAAGTGATGCTGAACCACCCCGGTCGCCCTTTACTGAGTTGTGGTCCCAGCGCGCGAAACAAGACTATGCCATGCACATTTACTCGCACACGGGCGACAGCTCATGTACAGGCGAAGACGAGACCTGGGAAGAGGAAGTCCCTGTGAGTAGCATCAGCTTCGATGATCATGCACCAATGTGAGTGGCTTGGTTGAAATGCCGCGCCGTGGTGGCTAAAAGCTTCTCCATAAGAGTCAAAAAGCTCCTTGGCTTGGCCCCCTTTCTGTTAAGAACACGGCTTAAGAAAAGGTCACACGAAATTGAAGACTGGGCGGATGAGACAGGAAGAATTGTACTTATTGGCGAGGCGGCGCATCCATGGCAGGTTCGTATAGGACTTTATCTTCTCGTTCCTGGCACCGAGGCTTACATTGCCAATCGCAGCCTGGTGGAACTCATGGACCCAGTATTGCAGTAGAAGACGCGGTCGTCTTTGGGAGCCTATTTTGTCGGCTTAGCACATGGGAACAGGTACCATCCTTTCTCAGCGCGTATCAAGAACTACGGCAGAACCGATGCAACGAAGTCAAAAAGTCTGACCTATCGAATGCGGTGATGGTTGCGATGCCCCCGGGGCCGGAGCGTGATGCTCGCGATGCGGACATGCGCAAGAAGAACGCCGATGAGTGGGATGAGGGAACGATGAAGCGTAACTTTGAGGAGATGGCGTGGGTGTTTGGCTACGTTGCTCAGGACGACGCCGATGAGTGGTGGGTCAATTGGGGTCGGCTCAGCGATTCGGTGAGAGGATCTTTCGACGTCAAACATTTGAGCGTGGCGCTAGATATGAAAACGGTCGAGTCAAAAGCATAGCATCTTCATCGCATGCATATCGGGTTAGGTGTAGGATATGATTGCTTAGATTTTGGATGCGGACATCGTCGATTCATTGCTGGGTGTATAACTTCATGGAATGTATGCTACATATCTTAAAGTACAATATGTTATATGCATACGGGGCGTGAAATAGATAGGGGGAGACATACAATGCCATCATTCATCGACTGGGTCAGCGGAGCGACTCGAGTTACAATGGTCCAGCATGCGATGGAAACCCTCGGCAAGTAGCACCTGCTAGCAAGTTGCCCCCCCACCCCCGTATGGAGTGTGGCTACTTGAGAGAGCTTTGGACACAATATACCTCGCTTCGGACTGGCTGTCCACAACGGGTCGCAGAGGTCGGTTAGTGCCGTGTGGTCGTGTACACCGTTCTGCAAGTATCTTCGTCGTGAGAATCATAATCAAGTTTCTAAATTTAAAGTAGAGGTCGACTCAGACCTTGTGAAAATGCAGAAGCTGTTCCAGGTTTTCTGTCAATGTCCATGCAGGAGCGTACACAGAGCAGCAAGAGTATGCACGATCTGGACACACTCTGAATGTCAGCAGGATCGAATGGATTCCGAGCACTCAAGCGTCCGACCTGTAGACTTATGGCAAAGATCAAAATGGACGATGTAGAGTATCTTCAGCCATATCTGAATGACTTGGACTCGTGGAACAGCGAGTCAAATGCCGTGAATGTGCCCCGCAGTGCGCCATGAGACCAGCTAATTCAGCGTCTGAGTGCCAGTGACATCCGGGTGGACATTCAGTGGGGTCCAAAAGCTTTCCATAGTCCAACTTGTCGACAACAGGTCGTGATGGACAGAGAGATGACCATGGTCAAGTTGGAAATCAAATTGAAGTGAAACGAAACATCGCCTGCACGGCGCTGATTTCGGCAGCCAGACCGCCGCCACCGCGGGCTGAAGCTATACCAGCTGCCCTTCCCTCCCCATCTTGCCTGGTACCATTCGATTACTGTCTTGCTCGTTATAATAGTGAAGATACTATCTGGTTTGAGCTTCTATCATGGCGACCATATCTACGTACTTGCGGAACTTCAAGGAGCCCACAAAAGAGCAGCAGACAGAGTTGTTTTTTGCGATTCCTCCAGCACGGCCTGATGCGCAGGGTGAGAAGGGTTTACAGAACCAGCTTGAGAAGATGGAAATCACTGCCATCCTCTCGCTGCAGGGTGAAGATGTGTATGTGAGTCATGGCTAAGGCTCCTGATGTCGGCAAGCAGAGCAATTGACACGAGACCGTCATGCCAGCCAGGAAAGCTATACCTTATACCACCGTACCTCGCCTTCATAGCGCATGATCGCAAGTCGACGCGGTTCACAATCCCTTTGAGTACCATCCGTCGTGTAGAGCGGCTCAATGCGCGGGCAGGTGTCTACGCGCTCGGCCTCTCGGTGTGGCATGACATGAAGATCGTTCGTATGCATCAAATGATGCAAGGGGAATCCTGACTTATTGTGGGACTCAGGTTGTCCAGTTGACTTCATTACGGCCCACCGCGGATCTGTTCTGCTCGTTGCTCCGTGATGCACTCAAGGCAGAACTGCAGCAAGGCAGGATGAAGACGGTCAAGAACTTCGTCAAGACATGCTACTCTGAGATCCTCATTGCTGCTGCTGATAATGAGGAGAAGGGCATAGACGCTGTGAAGGCTGCTGAAGCTGCTGCTGCGGATGCGGACTCGATGTACCTTGGTGGTCTGGGGCTGAAGTTTAAGTTTCCTGGCGATCCTAAGAAGTGAGTGTAAGGTCAATTGAAAGTGCACTCTATTCTGATGCATCGCAGACTCCGTGAAGCATCCAAAACTAAGTTGTGGATGAGCTATTTGAAGAGTAAGTTGCTCATGTTCTGTTAAGTCGACTCCTAATCCAATGGATCGTTCAGCACATGGCCGTAATCTCACCCTCCTTCGGTACCCTCAATGCACGCGTCTGGTGCAGGTCGGTCTCCCGAATAGACTGCGAGGGGAAATGTGGGAAACATTGTGCGGCTCTCTGTACCTCCGCTATGAGAATCCGGGTTTCTACGACCGCGTTCTGGAAGAGAATACAGGACGAACGAACACCAGTACGGAGGAGATAGAGAAGGACCTACATCGCAGTCTTCCGGAGTACTCGGCATATCAATCGGAAGAGGGTATCGCATCACTACGCCGAGTACTTCAAGCGTACTCTTTCAAGAACCCTGAAACAGGCTATTGCCAGGTCAGTTGTTCTTTTGTTGTTATCTCCTCGAAGTGTTAGTCCTGAAACTCCGGAGGCTATGAACATACTTGCAGCAGCAATTTTGATGTGAGTCAGCATGTTCCTGTGCGGTGAGCGTGAATTCGACCATGCCACCAGCTATATGTCCGAGGAGCAGGCATTCTGGCTGCTGGAAGTGATTTGTGACCGGCTGTTGCCTGGATACTATAGGTCGGTCTATTCGTTGTTCTCCTGCATGTGTATTGCTCATGCGTGGACGTGCAGTCCGTCTATGCATGGGACACTACTGGATCAACGTGTGTTCGAATCACTTGTCCATCGATGTCTGCCCATCATCCACGACCACTTCCAGCAAGTCGACGTGCAGCTATCGGTCGCATCTTTACCTTGGTTTCTGAGTTTGTAAGAACGGATTCCGCGCTGTCTCATGAATCTTTATCGACAGTCTGCGTGATCGACAGGTTCATCAACAGCATGCCCATGGTATTCGCGTTCCGAATTATTGATTGCTTCTTCTGTATGGGTCCGAGAGTTCTCTTCCAAGTAGGGTACGTTCATATCTCATGTTTGCGGCTTGCTTTTTGACCCCTCACACACTATAGACTTGGTCAGTCGCACTCCATATCAGTAGGGCATCTGACGAATGCTCTTTGACAGCTATTCTGAAGATCAATGGAGAGAATCTGTTGAAGATACAAGACGATGGCGGCTTTATTCAGTGAGATACATAAAGCTTTACTGCATAGAGCCGATCTGAGGATATCTGACATTTCTGGAAGGTTAATGCGCGCATACTTCGCTTCACTCGGCGAATCTGCTCACCCATACTCCACTGATCCGCGAGCGCGGGCCATAACGCGCTTCCAGGAGCTCCTGTTGGTCTCCTTCCGCGAATTTGCTGTCATCACAGACGACACTATCCTCAGCGAGCGACGCAAGTACAGATCAGAGATCGTCAACAGCATCGAATCCTTCTCTAAGCGATCAGCGATTCGGAACCTTAAGTCTCTAGGACGCTTCACGAAGGAGCAGGCAGGTTTGGTGTACGACGCGCTCTTCAAGGCCGTATGTATCGTTCCTCCGCCATCCATGTCGCTCCCGCCGCCTTCCCTTCTGACGACGAAAGACGGTGCCGAGGAGCGTCCGGAGACGAGAATAGGTTTGCGAACATTCAGGGTGTTCCTCAGCGAAATCTGTACGTGGGCACGAGATGAGAAGATCGTGTCAAACGGCTTCCAGGTACGTATACTCGGTGCAGCGTATTTGCCGCAAAAATTTATGACTAAGCTCTTTGTTTGTAGCAAAGAGTAGACCGTGAAGTTCCTGAGCATGAGCTTATTGATCGCCTATTCTTCTTCTGGGACACGTCGTATCGTGGTTCCCTTTCTTTCCAGGTAACGACCATTTGTATACCCATGAGAAGTATGCTAACATTGGACACCCCTTAGGACTTGATCTCTGGTTTAGACGGCGTGATGTTTAACGATCTTATGGAGAATATCGAGTGGTTCTTCAATTTGCATGATAAGAATAAGGACGGGTTCCTTACGAAGGATGAAGTTCTAACATTATCCGAGTCCCTCTTGGTCAGTAGGCTACGTCTCCTGAACGCCATGCCTGCTGATAGTCCCTCTGCAGTTCATCTTCCGGTATGAAGTTGGCGATGCATACCTGGGCGCGGTCAGTCGCTTCATGTCGAACGCGTTCGAATACGGCGATGCTCTACTTCCCCGTCCCGAGGGTACCGACCCTTACGGCGAACCACCGCAAATTGAGTCGAATCAACCGTACATAAATCTTGCAACGTAGCTCTTTCCCAACTTGCTTCCATTCTGTCACTGACTTCTCCACAGCTTCCGTATGGTGGTGCTGGCAGATGAGATCCTGGAATCCTTCTTCGAGGCCGATTTCACCTCGACCTTCAGGCTAGAGCCAGTACCGTTAGACATCCCGAATTCCAATGCCTCCTTGCTCGGCGGTATATGGTCCAACATCACCAGCGACGACAACCGTAAGATCTTCAACAGCGTTACGGACCAAATCGGGAAGACGATCGGGAAGCATCAGGTATGCGAACCGTTCGCTTCACCTTCTTTCTCGTCAGTTCGTTCACGACGGGCAGGTGTACCATCGTCCAGCAATTGGAAAGTATGCATCCCTTGAGGAGCCGAAGGCGCGGGAGTCGCTGCTCACGCCGACCATGCGCCACTCAACTTCCAAGGGTAGCCTCAAGACTGCAGACAGCTCGACCGAGGTGTCCGTGTCATCGCCCACGTCTACGACTTTAACGGCAACGTCATCTAACATGAACATCGAGCCGCCAGAATCCTCGGTATCCACTGAATTCTCTCCTATGCCGAACATGATCCAGGCTGCCGCGAATGCCGCAGCATATATGGAACGGACACCGTTTGCTATTGATGATGCGAAGGATGAAGAGGACGATACCGAGGATGAAAGCGGTATGGAGGAGGACGATAGTGTCATGGATGAGGTGCGTCTGTGAAGGCCTCTGCGTGGATGGAACTCATGCCATATGTATCATTGCAGGTCGATGCATTCCTGGAGGAGCATGACACAGGGTTGACTGAGGCTGAGCGAGAGCTCGCGAAGGGTTGGCGACTCCCCACTATTGGTTTACATAAAGTTGATTAACACTGTTTACAGACTTAATGAACGCGGAGCCGGTGTAAGTTCAAGTGAACTGGTCAATCTGTGGACACTCTAAGGATGGTCGCATGTATTATTCTCACTCAACCTTGTATAGTATCTATAGCGCTCATCACACATCATTCTATGCACATAACACTATTTTAGATGGGCACAGTGATGCGATGGGTACAGATCAGATGGAGGCAAGCAATACTAATGTTTGGCGCCACTACACCCGTAGCACATTCCGGTAAATTCGCATTGCAACGAACTTACGGATAGCGTAGAACGTAGAAGACTAGGAGAAAGACACTGAGTAGGCGAAAGGCTTAGATATGCTCTGAAAAGTGCTTTTGGCACGCCACATGTATTGGGGGTACACTGCTGGGTATATATATACACGACCATGCAAACCACACGCTCTGTGGTTGCTATCAAGAAGAAAGAAAGAAACCGAGACAACCAGACATTCCATGATCACAACAACGTAACGAAGACAAGCAGGCCACACTAACTGTGGCTGCAGTACGAGCAACCGGACGTCGGCGCTCCACTATCCGAATCCACTTTCAACACAAGAAACAAACCCCATACATCCTCCCAGACGCGCAGAAGAGCCGCCGACAACCACACAGAACTGCGAACACAGCCGCGTGGTTGAGCGACTCAGCAGCGAGCAAGCAGACTTGGCCAAAGCCAGAGCCAGCCCGCCCACCGCGCAACGACGAGTCCATCATAGCCGTGGACCGCCGTGCAGAGCAGACTCATCGTAGCTGTGAATCTGCTCTCTTCGTCGAGCGAGTCCGCCGGTGCGTCACCCCGGCGTCCACAAACCAGCAGCGGAGCGGCCAACTTAACAGCCGCAGTACTTTGCAGTACTTCACGCCGCAGGAACTCAGACGGTACACTCTTGGATGCCTCTGTCGCCGTTGAGGTGCGAAGCGACGACGTCGATGGTCCGGAGCCATGACCCAGAGATGTAGCCAGCCAGATTCTCCAAGTCGAAGATGAAGTAGGCGCCAGAGACCATCGAGGAACAGGCGAGCGAAGGAATGAAGTGTCGCCAGAGGTCCAAGGACGAGAGACCAGTGTTCCAGAGAGGCAATCCAGAGAGAAAACTTGCTGCAATGTCCGGCGAACTCTGGCGTTGACCAGGCCCGCTTGCTCGCTGCTGAGCCGCTCGACCGCGAGGCTGGGTTCGCAGCCTTGCGGTGTTGGCGACGGCTCTTCTGAGCGGCTGAGAGACTGTATGAATGTCGCTTCTTGTGTTGGATGGGGGCTCGGATAGTGGGGCGTCGACGTCCGCCTGCTCGTACTGCAGCCACAGTTAGTGTGGTCTGCTTGCCTCCGTTCTGCCATCGTGACCACAAGTGCTGGCATTGGGTTTTATGATTTTACGACGAGACGCGAAACTTGCAGAAGGGGAGACCATCGGTACGAGACTTGCAGACGAGAAACAATCTGATTTATATCGGACGTCAGCACTATCCAACACCTGCAGGGCACGAGAACGTACCTTAAGTATATGCAGCGACCGCGTGCGCAATGCGCAATTCACCACAAATCGTGCGGTGTACTCCAGAAAGGATACCATTCTCCACCGTCGCCAGGGTCCGGATATCTCTTCAACTTGCCGTTCACGACCCATGCCTCGTACAACGGCGGAGGGCGGTGGTGATCCCAGTTCAGAGAAGGATCGAAGACATAGTAGGGGGGCCAATCGACTACGTCTTCGTCTTCACTCTCAACAGCGCTGTCCGTGACCTCAGACGACGAAAAGGACTGAGCAGCAGAGACGTTGTTGACGACAGAGGAAGATGAACCAGAGCGGACGGGCTGTTCTTCCTGTTGGCACTGAGCACCCGAAGGTTTCTTGCGCTTCTTCGGCTTGCTGGCCTTGCGATACTGTGCGATGAGCTGCTGTCCCTGGACGGACGCGTCCGGGTTCGGCCCCAGCTCATGAAGAACCTTCTTGATTGGCACACGAGCAGCGGGAGCAGTACGCACAGCAATATTAACAGAAGAACCGAATGGAGATCCAGATACACCAGATGGGGCGCCAAGATTACGAGATCCAGAAGAACCACCAGAAGGGACATGCACACCAGAGCCAGTACCGCGGATGACACCATGAGAACGAGCAGGTGTCGATGTCCTCGGGCCATACTGAGCAGCCTTGGTGTTCGCAGCGACCGCTTCCCTAACCATCTTGTCAAGGCCGGGGAAACGGCAATCACCACCTGTGTGCTCCTGGACGATATTGTCATCGGCCCTGCCCTTGCTCTTGTTCTTGACCTTGTTCTCGGCCACATCAACCATTCCGAGGACGGCGAGCTCGCCAGTATTCTCACGCTTCTTGATCAACGGCGTGAAGAGGCGGTCAATGTGGTCAACCTGGGCAAGCTCGCAACCAGAAGAGCAGACAGTGCTGGCCAACGAAGATCCAGAACCAGATCCAAAAGAAGATGAGACCAGAGTAGGAGAATCAGGCGATCCAGCAAGGACAAGACTGAATGAACCCGAGGCTTCCGACTCGGCAAGCCGCTGGAGAAGTCGCTCCAGAGGGGAAGGCTGCTCCTCGTCGGCGACAGATTCCTGTATGACAGCTGGAGGATCTTCGGCACTGACCGGCTCCTTGACTTTGACCGGTTTATCAGTGAGGCGCTGGAAGAGTTGTTCCACGAGAGAGGCCGGCTGGTTGACGACGACTGGCTCCTCCGGTAGCACTGGCGGATCCTCGGGGGCGACGGGATCCTCGGCAGGGACTGGGACATCCTCACTACCGATAGACTCCTCCACGGAAGCTGGAAGATCCTGGACGACAACGATAGGACCTTCAGTTGGGACTGGGGCATCCTCTTCACCGATGGCGTCTTCCAATGCAGCTGGCGGGTCCTGGACGAGAACGGGCTCTTCAGAGAGTACTGGGGCATCCTCATGACCGATGGGCCCCTCTACGGCATCTGGCAGACCCTGGACGACGACGAGATCTTCGGTGGGGACTGGGACATCCTCTCCACCGTCAAGCGCCTCCGAGACCGGGTGATCTTCATGGTAGGCCACGCTCAGGTGAGCTTCGAGTAGGGCGACTATGCCTTGAGTACCTAGCCACCTAAGTGCGACCGCGGGAACAGGAGGAACATCGAGCACATCCGGGGGTGAACCTTGAGGGACGAGAGCTCGAACTAGTCCCTTCGTGTCGCCCGACACGTATGCGTGCTTGAGGGGCGCATGAAGGGTGTTGGCCATCGGCTTCAGAGAGACATTGCCCACAAGTGTCATTCACATTAAATGGGTAATGAGATGAGGGACCACGCACCTGGTGCAAGCCGACGGACATGCAAGACGGGCGTGGAGCAGCCGCAGCCATGAACAGCGAGGCCGGCACTGTCCAGCGACGCTCGCCCGCCATTGCCTTCCAGCCTTTGATCGTCTTGAGGAGGGCGTCTCCATCTTGCCTAGGAGGACAGCCCTGATCGTCGGGATGGGATGTAGGGGTGTACCGAGGGTTAAACGCAGAGGGGGTTGTAACGAACATGATAGTTCTCTGGAGGAGAGGTACAAAGAACAGGAGGGTTTATATGTGCTCGAGCAGGAGGCTGACCGTAGAGGCTGGCGGGTCAGCCCCGGTGGTCAGCCTCTCGTTGGACGTTGTCGACGCGGGCCCAGGCATTGCGATTTCGACCGAGCTCGTAATTGAGCATTTCAGGCGAACTGAGGCTCGACTGTCGTCAGACATCACAGAGAGGAAGTACGCCGACACGTTGAGATAGAGGCCGGCCACAGTGGGGACATACGAGGGCAGAAGCAAGTCGGATATCTGCGCGTGCGCGCACGGTGGCGGGGCACGCGTCCCCCAACGCGGTCACCTGATACCAATGAGTTAATATCGACCTACCTGCATAAGACCTCCGCGCTTTGTATCATTTCGGGTCAGCATCCAACACGACACTCTCATCATCCCCAGCCATTCTGCATGATCTTCCGAGGTATCCAGGCCACCAAGTGCGATGTTCTAAAAGTTGACTTGATATTGTACGTCTACATAAGCATTGACCTCCTACTAATACGATGAAAAGGGGAAAATAAAGGATTGGAGGGGATCGCACAGCGTTTGGACTGAAGCGGGGAGACCCTGCAACGTTCATCAAACTTATGCTTGTTCGTGCTCAGCGCAAGGCAGACTAGCAGCCCGATGGGCGATGGAGGAATCCGGGGCTGCAACGACCTACGCCTGATAGATATCTGAGAAATTGATACTCATGCGGCGCCACGTCGACAATGACATTTTGACAACATTGACTCGGTCACAGCTCGAAATAAGACATATCCGCATTGCCCCTAGAATGACTGACAGGTCGGTCAAGGCCAGCGACTCATCACCCTGCACAGCACCCTTCAAGCATACCCAGTGGCACCTGGCACAACCCCAAAGGCAGGCCCTCCCTTGCCGAACAGCTTACGGAGGTCAGCTGCGAGCTCGTTGGGCCGCTCATGAGCCCCAAAATGACCCCCGCTGTCGTGGTCAGACTCAAAAACGACATTCCCGATTCCCCGTGCCCATCTAGTAAGAGCGAGATGAGCATCACATGGACTACCACTCACGCTGGGAGGTGCACTCACGTTTTGGGTACCACGACCAGCTCCTTTGGGAAGAATGAGATACCGAGTGGAATCGGGCTCCACTTTGCCTCTGGCATCAAATCTCCATTCTGCGTCGTCTCGAAGTAGATCCTGATGGATGCAGCTGGGCCTGCTCTTGAGAACCAATATATAGATATCCACGTCAAAACTATGTGAGATGTTGAGATATACTTGTGAGTTTACGTGAGCAGAGACCAGGATGCACACCTTCATCGTCATCCCACGGGTAGTTGTCAGTCCAAGTAACTAGTTTCTCGTATATCCATGCCAGCAGACCAACGGGCGAATCAGCTAGACTGTATCCGAGCGTCTGAGGCTGCGTAGACTGCTCCTTGAAATATCCAAAGCCTTTCTCTTGGAGTTCTTTCGTACGCTGCAGTGCAGCGCGGTCGGCCGGAGAGAACGGCAGCATCAGGAGCGAGCCTACAGAGGCAATGAACCGCAATGGCTGTTCGAAAACACTTGGCGGACCAGTGCTGAAAGGATGTCAGCGCATTGCAGTTGCAGTGAGTGAACGGTGAACCACGGACAAAGGGGAATTCGTGTGCCACGCCTTTACACTCTTCTGACCATATTCCGATGCGAGCATCCGGCAAATCTAATCGATTGCTCAGCCACAGACGCCAAGTTATTCGATAAGCATGAATACCCACAAAATATCCCCAATCGCCGCCTTGGGCCACTGGATATCATTGGCGGTCAACGCAGTGGGTGGAAGGAATGAAAAGGCATTTCATACCGTATTCATTATACCCAAGAGCGAGCATCAGCTTGTTCGCGACCTACAGGGAAGGATTCATCGTCAGATCAATTATTTGATTTGCAGCGGTAGCAACAACAGGCGAGCTTCATACCTCCGCATATTGGGGCCCTTTGAAACCCTTCCTTTTCGGTGCCTCGGACCACCCGTAGCCTGGCAGACTGATGGCAACCACATGAAAGCTCGGATGGTCCTCCGACGCCTCAGTCAGCAACGGCAACAACTTCCGCACTTCAAGGAAATGTCCTGGCCCTTCAGATCCAATAAGCCTCTCGTGAGCGAGATTTCATGCGGTGGATCGTGATGATTTACATCCGTGAACGAACAGCAGAGGCACAGCGCTCTCTATCGCACTTCGCTGATGGATATAGTGAATGTTCAGCGTGCCGAATCCGTCCACCTCGATGTCTCTCGTGAACTGGGGGATTGCGTTGATTTCCGCCTCCGCCTTCCGCCAGTCATACCCACTTTGCCAATGCTCGACAAGGCGACGGATGTCAGCGAGAGGAGCCCCGTATGCCCAACCTGCTTCATCTAGTTCGTCGGGAAGGCGAGCCAGCCGCAACTTCTCATGCAGCAGCTCAAGCTCGGCATCTGGGATTGATATGCTGAAGGGCTGCTCATTAGAGCGAGACATGGAGAAAAGGCTAAACTTGGTAGCTGTTTGAGCAGTTCAGAAGTCCCCTGGACGTTGTGACTCGGCCCTTGGACGAGCACGAGTTCGTTTCACAGTGCTTCTCTCGCTAACGCCATCGGGCGTTGGCGGACTGCGCTTAGGACAATGTCAACGTGATGCATAGTACCAATTCAGTGTCGTCCCGTTGTCGTCAAGCACCGAGCTCGAAAAACTCCAAGGCCAATGCACAGCAAACAGCGTTAGCGGTCTCCTGCCTCACGCGTCCTCTAAGCTGCGCTCCAGCTTTCATCATTCACCTGCGCGGTCTCTCTGTGGTGCTCGCCCGCCGCGGATAGCTTGAATGCACGCCGCTCTCCTCCTCACCTGGCACGCGTCCCCTGCCTGAGTTACATCTCTTCGAGTCCTCAACACTCGCGACACCGACCTTTGCTAGATGCGCCTGTGCCGCCTTCGCTCTCCTCGAACAACACAGCACTCTTATCTTTTTCCAGTGCGCAACGCTCCCCCGGCGTATCCTCGTCAATCTTCTGCTCGTCTACCTGACCGCTGTGCTCGCTTGTTTCGCCGGAATTGGACTGTGTGGGCTAAGAGATGGAGTTGCTGGTGTGTGATAGCCTCGTTCATGGTTTACAGTGCTGTGCGAGTGAGTGTGACTTTTGATCCATGCTCAGATACGCTCACCAAATGCGTATTTACGACTCATTACTGCTGTGGCCATGGGTGGGTCGACGTTCCTTCGGAATGCGTCGCTGATCTTATCTGATGCCGATCGAAAGGTTTGCTGTCTGTTCTTGGCATTTGAAGGTATGGATTGCTATGGAATCTAATCTGATGCAGTAACGCGCGAATGAACGCGGAGCCGGTGTAGCTCTAAGTGAACTGGTGGATTGTGGACACTTTCGGAACGGTCGCATGTATTATTCTCATTCAGGCTTGGATGGTATTTATAGCACTCATCATAAATTATTTCAATGCACATAACACTATTCCACATCACTCAGCACAATAATGCGATGGATGCACGAGGAGGCAAGCAATACTAATGTCAGTGTTGTCATATCTATAGCACAATCGCGATCAACGAGTCGCATTCACAACGTTGTACTTACACTTAGCATACTAATAGACGACCCAGAGGTACACAGCAATCGGTGAAGTCACCACAGTAAGCCTCGCACGTCTATGGTAATAAATATCAACCTGTATTTCCAAAATTTTAATCAAAGCCCTGCCTTGATCTCGTGCACGTGCCCGTGTTGTGGGGTGGCCACTTGCCAAAAGGGGCTGTTGTCGTGTGTTATTTTCTAAAGCCGTAGCCTTTTATAGGTTTCTACTCTACCTTCATCGTCCCCCACGTGCTTTGACAAGACAGATCATGGACCCACTAAAGGGACTCGAGGATTCATCCACGGATGACGACGCTGCATCACAAACCACTGAAGATGACCCTCAGGTGCCAGAAGGGCACGAACCTCCTCCGCCTCCGCCTCCTCCAGCGCATGCCGTAAGAAATGGTCGCGGACGGCCACATTACGAGCTCCGTCATACAATGCGCGGCCATACATCGTCAATTTCTGCAGTTAAATTTAGCCCGGATGGAGAATTCCTTGCATCATGCGGTATGTGCATTTTGGACTCGTCTGTGAATGTTCCGTGGCTCAGGACGATTCTGGCTAATAGCCAATGATCGCATGGTCAAGATCTGGTCGCCCTTCACCGGAGAGCTAATACGAAATTTGACCGGTCACACAAAAGGTCTCTCTGATATTGCTTGGTCTCCAAATAGTGACTACCTGGCATCCGCTTCCGATGATACTACCATCCGAATATGGGATGTCGAATCCGTAAGCCATCGATGACTTCTTAGTACTGATACATCCTCACAGATTCTTGTCTCAGGGCATCTCGACTAGAACCCTAAAGGGACATACCAGCTATGTGTTCTGTGTCAACTACAATAGCTCTTCTACTCTACTAGTTTCCGGTGGCTGTGAAGGTGACGTGCGGATATGGACCACATCAAAAGGTCTGATTCTCCCGGAGTCTCTAATGCTATAAATTGATTAAAATGAGCGGCAGGAAAATGCATCAAAACTATTCATGCGCATCTGGACTACGTCACCGCTGTGCATTTCAACCGAGATGCAAGTCTGATTGTTTCCTGCTCCCTTGACGGACTCATGTCAGTGTTTTCATTCACGGGAAATTTTTGAAAAATGCTGATGATCGTGCTTTCAGTCGAATATGGAACACTACCTCTGGGCAGTGTCTGAAGACGCTCGCTGAGGGACATGACGCTATATGGTAATACCCCTTCCAATCAGCTTGAATAGCCTCTTATCCAGGCCCTCTCAGCCAACATGTCCAGTTCTCACCCAATTCAAAGTATATCCTCTCCACGGCGCATGACAGCGCGATTCGTTTATGGGATTATCAAACGTCCAGATGCCTCAAAACCTATGTCGGGCATACGAACCAAAAGTACTGCATCGCTGCCTGCTTCAGCGTCACGGGCGGCAAGTGGATCGTCTCAGGCAGCGAAGATAATAAAGTGTACCTCTGGGATCTGCAGAGTCGGGAGATTGTGCAGGTACTTGAGGGACATTCTGGTGAGTCCTGCGTGAACGATGTGGAAGCTCTCATCTCATGACGCCGCACTTCAGACGTCGTGGTTGCTGTTGCGGTAAGTCTTCATATCATGGAGTGCTTTGGTTTTTCTGACCAGCACCGTTGTAGACCCATCCTCAACATAACATGATCGCATCCGGCTCCATGGATTCAGACCTTACGATTCGTATATGGGTGGACCGCGGGCGCCAATAGATGACATACGCCGTTTCCACCCATTCTTAGTGTAATTTATCTGTATCTGTCGCATTGACGTATCAATCTGGATTTGGAATAGTGTAACGTTCGCTGGGCGATGTATGCCGAGTGGAATTGATCTGTACACCGAGCGCCTGAACATCGTGTTTACAGACAGCAGCTGCACTTTCCCGGAAATATCACTGTCGTGATTTTGTTCCAATGTCATTCAGAACGAACATGGCTCGCACTGACAGGATCAACGGTTCTGGGTACTAGGAATAGTGTAGGAATTAACTGGAAATTAATTCGAGCATTGATTGGTGTCAGGTGACCGCGTTTTTGGGACGCGTCAGAAATCTCGCGAGTCTTAACCAAGTACTCTGTGTGCGCGCAAAAAACCAGTTTGAAGTTCCGTTCTCATATGCACCTCGGCGACATTTGTCTCAACTCGCCCATGCGCTCTTCTCTCTGGACTATCAATTCGCTTCGGATGCCCAACTACGAGCTCGGTCGAAATCGCAATGCTTGGGCCCGCGTCGACAACGTCCAACGAGAGGCTGACCTCCGGGGCTGACCTGCCAACTCCACGGTCAGCCTCCTGCTCGAGCACATATAAACCCTCCAGTTCCCAGCACCTCTCCTCCAGAAAACTATCATGTTCGTTACAACCCCCTCTGCGTTTAACCCTCGGTACACCCCTACATCCCATCCCGACGATCAGGGCTGTCCTCCTAGGCAAGATAGAGACGCTCTCCTCAAGACGATCAAAGGTTGGAAGGCAATGGCGGGCGAGCGTCGCTGGACAGTGCCGGCCTCACTGTTCATGGCTGCGGCTGCTCCACGCCCGTCTTGCATGTCCGTCGGCTTGCACCAGGTGCGTGGTCCCTCATCTCATTACCCATTTAATGTGACTGACACCGTGGGCAATGTCTCTCTGAAGCCGATGGCCAACACCCTTCATGCGCCCCTCAAGCACGCATACGTGTCGGGCGACACGAAGGGTCTAGTTCGAGCTCTCGTCCCTCAAGGTTCACCCCCGGATGTGCTCGATGTTCCTCCTGTTCCCGCGGTCGCACTTAGGTGGCTAGGTACTCAAGGCATAGTCGCCCTACTCGAAGCTCACCTGAGCGTGGCCTACCATGAAGATCACCCGGTCTCGGAGGCGCTTGACGGTGGAGAGGATGTCCCAGTCCCCACCGAAGATCTCCTCGTCGTCCAGGGTCTGCCAGATGCCGTAGAGGGGCCCATCGGTCATGAGGATGCCCCAGTACTCTCTGAAGAGCCCGTTCTCGTCCAGGACCCGCCAGCTGCATTGGAAGACGCCATCGGTGAAGAGGATGCCCCAGTCCCAACTGAAGGTCCTATCGTTGTCGTCCAGGATCTTCCAGCTTCCGTGGAGGAGTCTATCGGTAGTGAGGATGTCCCAGTCCCTGCCGAGGATCCCGTCGCCCCCGAGGATCCGCCAGTGCTACCGGAGGAGCCAGTCGTCGTCAACCAGCCGGTATCTCTCGTGGAACAACTCTTCCAGCGTCTTGCTGATAAAGCGGTCGAAGTCAAGGAGCCGGTCTGTGCCGAGGATGTTTCAGTTGTCGTACAGGAATCTGTCGCCGACGAGGAGCAGCCTTCCCCTCTGGAGCGACTTCTCCAGCGGCTTGCCGAGTCGGAAGCCTCAGGTTCATTCAGTCTTGTCCTCGCTGGATCGCCTGATTCTCCTACTCTGGTCTCGTCTTCTTTTGGATCTGGTTCTGGATCTTCGTTGGCCAGCACTGTCTGCTCTTCTGGTTGCGAGCTTGCCCAGGTTGACCACATTGACCGCCTCTTCGCGCCGTTGATCAAGGAGCGTGAAAATACTGGCGAGCTCGCCATCGGCGGAATGGTTGATGTGGCCGAGAACAAGGTCAAGAACAAGGGCAAGGGCAGGGCCGATGATCGTATCGTCCAGGAGCGCACAGGTGGTGATTGCCGTTTCCCCGGCCTTGACAAGATGGTTAGGGAAGCGGTCGCTGCGAACACCAAGGCTGCTCAGTATGGCCCGAGGACATCGACACCTGCTCGTTCTCATGGTGTCATCCGCGGTACTGGCTCTGGTGTGCATGTCCCTTCTGGTGGTTCTTCTGGATCTCGTAATCTTGGTGCCCCATCTGGTGTATCTGGATCTCCATTCGGTTCTTCTGTTAATATTGCTGTGCGTACTGCTCCCGCTGCTCGTGTGCCCATCAAGAAGGTTCTTCATGAGCTGGGGCCGAACCCGGACGCGTCCGTCCAGGGACAGCAGCTCATCGCACAGTATCGCAAGGCCAGCAAGCCGAAGAAGCGCAAGAAACCTTCGGGTGCTCAGTGCCAACAGGAAGAACAGCCCGTCCGCTCTGGTTCATCTTCCTCTGTCGTCAACAACGTCTCTGCTGCTCAGTCCTTTTCGTCGTCTGAGGTCACGGACAGCGCTGTTGAGAGTGAAGACGAAGACGTAGTCGATTGGCCCCCCTACTATGTCTTCGATCCTTCTCTGAACTGGGATCACCACCGCCCTCCGCCGTTGTACGAGGCATGGGTGGTGAACGGCAAGTTGAAGAGATATCCGGACCCTGGCGACGGTGGAGAATGGTATCCTTTCTGGAGTACACCGCACGATTTGTGGTGAATTGCGCATTGCGCACGCGGTCGCTGCATATACTTAAGGTACGTTCTCGTGTCCTGCAGGTGTTGGATAGTGCTGACGTTCGATATAAATCAGGTTGTTTCTCGTCTGCAAGTCTCGTACCGATGGTCTCCCCTTCTGCAAGTTTCGCGTCTCGTCATAAAATCATAAAACCCAATGCCAGCACTTGTGGTCACGATGGCAGAACGGAGGCAAGCAGACCACACTCACTGTGGCTGCAGTACGAGCAGGCGGACGTCGACGCCCCACTATCCGAGCCCCCATCCAACACAAGAAGCGACATTCATACAGTCTCTCAGCCGCTCAGAAGAGCCGTCGCCAACCCCGCAAGGCTGCGAACCCAGCCTCGCGGTCGAGCGGCTCAGCAGCGAGCAAGCGGACCTGGTCAACGCCAGAGTTCGCCGGACATTGCAGCAAGTTTTCTCTCTGGATTGCCTCTCTGGAACACTGGTCTCTCGTCCTTGGACCTCTGGCGACACTTCGAATTCCTTCGCTCGCCTGTGTTCCTCGATGGTCTCTGGCGCCTACTTCATCTTCGACTTGGAGAATCTGGCTGGCCACATCTCTGGGTCATGGCTCCGGACCATCGACGTCGTCGCTTCGCACCTCAACGGCGACAGAGGCATCCAAGAGTGTACCGTCTGAGTTCCTGCGGCGTGAAGTACTGCAAAGTACTGCGGCTGTTAAGTTGGCCGCTCCGCTGCTGGTTTGTGGACGCCGGGGTGACGCACCGGCGGACTCGCTCGACGAAGAGAGCAGATTCACAGCTACGATGAGTCTGCTCTGCACGGCGGTCCACGGCTATGATGGACTCGTCGTTGCGCGGTGGGCGGGCTGGCTCTGGCTTTGGCCAAGTCTGCTTGCTCGCTGTTGAGTCGCTCAACCACGCGGCTGTGTTCGCAGTTCTGTGTGGTTGTCGGCGGCTCTTCTGCGCGTCTGGGAGGATGTATGGGGTTTGTTTCTTGTGTTGGATGTGGATTCGGATAATGGAGCGCCGACGTCCGGTTGCTCGTACTGCAGCCACAGTTAGTGTGGCCTGCTTGTCTTCGTTACGTTGTTGTGATCACGGAATGTCTGGTTGTCTCGGTTTCGTTCTGTCTTCTTGATAGCAACCATAGATCGTGTGGCTTGCCTGGTCGTGTATATATACTCAGCAGAGTACCCGCAAATAGATGTGGCGTGCCAAAATCATCCCTCAGAACACAATCACGCCTTTCGCACTACCTCAGTGATATGGTTGTAGCTCGCAAGGTTAGAATGGCTTGTTCAGTGCCGTTCTGGGACATACCGGTAACATGTTGTTGTGTTAATCGAGGCAGTGCAGCCTTTCATCCGATTTAACGGCTTCTAATAAGTTATAGCTATAGTCAAAACGCAGCGCCCTCGCCCATCAACATAGTCAACGCCTCCATATAGCGCTTCCTTGTCCCCTCCACCACACTCTGTTCCATAACCCAGCCTTCACCTTCATGTCCCTTAGGGCCACTTTCCAAGCCCCTGCGAAATCCGGTGCTGACGAGCCAGTCCCTGAGATATTGCTTATCGAAGCTCGGCTGGGTACCGCCGGCCTGGTAGCCCTCCGCAGGCCAGTAGCGTGAGGAATCCGGGGTCAGGAGCTCGTCCACGAGGATCAGTTGGTCCTCGCCTGAGGGCGAAGGAACCAGTCCGAACTCGAACTTCGTATCCGCGAGGATCAGCCCGCGCGTGAGAGCGTAGTCCGCTGCCGCCTGGTACAGCTGAATAGCGGCTTTTGAGATCTGGTCATACAGTTTCTGGCCAATCAATGTAGCGGCTGCGGGAAGGGCATGATCACGACTGGTCCAGGATAAAGAGATGCGGAGACTTGCCTCGTTGAGGAGAGATGTTTTCGTCATGCTGTCCTTGCTCAGCTTTGGTGGAGGGCGTAAACAGAGGCTTGGGCAACTTTTCGGACTCTACAAGGCCCGGAGGCAGCGGGATGCCATGCACCATATCCGACATCTGATATTCCATCCAGCCTGAACCTGAAACGAGCATGTGCCTCAAATTAACAGCGACGAGAGGACAATGCGAACCTGTGATGTATCCTCGTACAATAGCCTCCAACGGGACAACCTTCGCCTTCTTGACCAGCATAGCCCGTCCTTCCAGCTGCACTTTATATTTTCTCACCTCCTCCGGCATCTCATCCACGTTCGCGGTGATGAAGTGCGTCGGGATGATATCCTTCAGCTTCTCGAACCAGAAGAGGGAGATTTTCGTAAGAACCTTGCCCTTGTCCGGAACGCCCTATCATCGGGAATATCTATGAATATTTCCTCCAACGAGCACGAGAATGCGACTCTATCGCGAGACGATAGAGCTGCGGAGACAAACATTTCGCAGGACGACATCGAAGGCAGAGATGCGGTCTGTCGCCACAAAGAGCAGCTGATCCGGGTTCGATGTTGCATAGACGTCGCGGACCTTGCCCCTCGACACGAGCGTCAGACCTGAGAGGTCCGTGGTGATCAAAGCAGAGTTCGACATCGTGACGGACTGGTTCACTTGCCACTACCCCGAAAAAATCGGAGAACATCGAACGCGGTAAATGCCGAACAACTGTGGCGTCGTCCCGAGAAATGTTGCTACTCGTGAAGATTGTATTACACCACCAAAAACATCATAATATAGACTATACGCGGGCGGTATCTGACTGAGGTAAATAGTGATAATTTACTCCGCACTATGGCCCTCATGCCAATCTGCAGATCGCACGATTTTGTATGTCGCGCTCCGATGTTTGTGCTTGCAATTCTTCGCAGCTCAGCATCTTCATGCTGAACACCCAGATTGATTTGTGATCAGTAGTTCGGTGGCTCTGTGTCAGGGAGGACCTCCGACTTAGCAATACCTTCAGAGGATATTCCATCCACTGGCTCCCGTCATCCGTATCGTCGACGAACACGACACCACGCTCGACCCATGCACATGCTCCGTTGGTTTGAGAAGGAGTGCACCAGCCGCAGGCCATAAGGAATGCTTCAAGACCGTGTACCCGTTGCCCAGCTGGTATGATTGATTTTGAAGGCACCCTCCAGAGTAGCTTCGTCGGATCTTGAGGCCTCGCCATCCAGACAACCGCGTTTCGGAGGAACTTGCCCATTGCTGTTGAGTCATACTCGCTGGACTGTAAAGTGAATGGAGTCAGAGGCACTTCTGGAGACTTGCGGTCCTCGGAGATCTTTGCCATCGGGTCTTCACGTACTACCAACTTGGCAGTGAGAGGCCCTTCTGTTTGCTGCGCTGGTGCCGCTGGGACTTCACTTCGAGCAGGTACAGACGTATGTGACGACTGTTCTTGTGGAGGATACTGAACAGGGCCTGCATTTTCGCTCCGCGCATCGCTAACGGTCTTGTGAGATGGCGAGCGAGCTTCCAAAATAACCGGATGCAGTCCCTCGGGCGCCACTTGAACGTTGCGCGTTGTGGTATTGCCCTTGCTATCCGATGACGCATTATCCACATCCGCGACTGGTAATTGCGCGACGTTCGTCACTGATCCAAGTGCTCGCAGGTATGTGGCTGTTCTTGGAGTGTTGGTACCAGTCTTCGCGCCTTCCTCTCTTGCGGTCTTCGAAGTTCCCAGTGCCTTTTCAGGGATAGACTCCTTGCCCGTCTTCAACTTCTTACTCTTGCGCTCGCCCAATTGTCGATCGACCAGCTCTAGCTTCTCCATCCAGGTCTCTTCCATTTGTTTGCGCTTCGTCGGACACTTGACACCAGGAATGCGAGGCTTCCCGAAGAGCTCTCTGGCCCAGTCGTCGATCTCTTTGTTGGAAGGGTCGCGTCCAATCGCTTCATGGGCAGTCCTCTGGAACCCATCTAAACTGGTTCCTTCGGTCCAAGAGCGCTCTCTGGCGCGAAAGACCTTCGCGATGCGGGGGAAGCGGAGTTCATAGAACTAGGAACATGAGTTAGACGAATCCGCTAAGAAGCATTGCTACAGATGACAAACCAAACTTCCTGGCGCTTTGCTGAAGCAAGCACCATATACTTCTGCTAGTAATGGCTGCCCAAGCAGGACGGTTGGAGCAGATATTCCCGAGAACAAATCAATTGTATACGACAGTCCATGTGTGCGCTGGATGGAGACAAACGGTCAGGGATTCGCGTGTCAGCATGACACTGCTATTTACTGACCCTCCCAGATATATACTTGACAGGCTCCGTGCTCTTGATGATGAAGTTGAGCTCCTCTAATTGTTCCCTTGCGAGACCGTATGAAACGGTGAAGAATACCTCAAAGTGAGGAACAGCTCGTCGCTGGTAGGCGGGTAAGCGAATACGAGAGCCTCGCATGAACATGTACACCCACATCCATCTGCAACGACTTGCCGTTGGCCAAAGCACCAAGATAGAACGTCGTGTACACGGTTGGTGCAACTATTGGTCATCATTGGCCATTTTGTTCAGCATACATTTGACTATGCAATTATTGACGCACCTCTGAGTTCGCGACCACGTTCCTTATCCCAGGCCGCACCGACGATGACGAGATCGAGGCAATCGCCATAGCCTGGGATGTAGTCCTTCTTGAGCTGTGGATATCAAACATAGATGAGATGTTATCTAGATACTATACCAGACATGCGTACCTTCACCCACGGCAGCCTCCAGTCATTATAACGTGACTCGTCGGCCTTCAAGACCACTCCCTCCTGATGGTCAGCGATAAGCCCCGAGAAAATTGTTCGTAATTGCGCATTTCCGTCGCTTTGACATGTCAATGATATAGGAGTTCGCTCAGCTAGCATGGCATGTCCGGGTGCGGTGTTGATGATCGATTCTAGGACGACGCGTCGTCGAGAGTAGGGGACGGGGAGAAGAGACTGATCATCGAGAAACAAGACATCGAAGAATACGAGAGCGAGGCGCCTGGTGCCTCCGTCTGACGCATCAGAGATGATAGAACTCTGCGAATGACTGTGCAGAGAAACAATTGACGAAAGTCCTTAATTTCTGGTGAAGCGACTCACATATCCTCCTGTTCTTCATCTTCTTCATGCGTCGCTTCCTTGCCTTTAACACGACGTGGTCCGACGGCAGTGCTCGCTATAATACTGCGAATTCTCCAGAATTCTTCGGTGCGCGTAAGATGGCTGCATATATGCCCTCAAAGTGGAGCTAAACGTACCGTCGACACGGTCGAGTGAATCCGAAAAGGCAACCATCTCTGCCTCAAGGATGGCATTCGTCTTGACCTTGCAGCACGTAGTTCCTATCCCAAGGGCATCAAGTATAGTCCTGATGAATGCACGGCACGTCAGGATTGCTAGTGCGATTTGAAAACAAGAACGTACTCGTGAATTGCGACACGGTCCTGAGTTGATTCCCGCCCACTTTTGCTGTAGATCGTGATGCGTGCTTCTCCATTGATTATCTCAACATGGATCTGTGCACGCTCGCCATCATATTTGGTCTCCGCCCAGACTTTCTTCGAGGTACGGAGGACATGCAGTGCCTGCGCGCATCCCTGGCCCTTAGTACATTTCGGTATCTATCATCATGTAGAAGGAGTGGTCAGCTGGGTAGCTATGATATAAGCTGTGGGGATGTTTACCTGGACCGGGACGCCAACCAGTGGTTTCAAGACAATGTCGACCTCGTCCGCCGTCGACAAAGTCTCGTAGAGCTGGGCCGCCTCATCCAAATATGCCCGCACACGGTATGTGGCAAGCATACGTTTGCTCAGATCCCACTCCCGCATGGCGTCGAATTTTGTGAGCTGGGTCAATGCGTTGCTGTTATAGGAGAGTAGTGATGCGGTATAATGAGTCTGATCCGGGGGGATGGGATACAACATCGGCCGCAAGTCTTTCAGGATGATCTGCGTGACGACCCCTGCTTCCACCGGGGAGAGCGCCGTATACAGAGCGCGGAGCACATTGGACTTGGGTCGAGGCAAAGCGCTCGAGTCAGCAACTGAAGAGTGCGGCCGGCGGACACTTGGCGACGAAAACGCGCATGTGGCCGCTAGTTCGCTGAGTAAGGCGTCTACTTTGGCGATGCTGAGGGTACCCTCCGTTATCTGCGGATGGCTCGTCAGTTTTGTTCTGTTAGAGAATATACTGAAGCACATACGGTCGAGCTCTCTTCCAAAATCTTCTGTACCTCCAGGCCGAGACATCCTATCGAGTTGTCGCCATCCCAATTCACAAGACCGTTGCCTCGCGCGCCTGTGTTTTTTGAGATTCCGAGGACCTTGGAGATAGACTGAGCGAGTCTTGTCTCTTGCAAACCATATTTTCTTCGGACGTCTTCTTCGGGGAACAAGAGGCGGAACACAATAGCTGCAGTGCCAGGGGGAAGAGGCGCGTAGCGACGATGCAATTCTGCCACCCAATTTCTGAATGTTTGCACGACATAGGGTGTTGAGCGTGAAGAGTTATTCTGGCTGACTTTGCGGGGCTTTATTTTCGCGATGGCACTGATTAAAGACACGAAGCTATGCGCAACATGAGCGTCAGAGGTTTGTTGCAGCGCGTTCTAGTATTCGCAGGAAAGACGTACAATCCGAACGGTATGGCTTTTTCGCCCTCGGACATGGCTGTTCACTGATTCGTGGTTCACTGCAAGATGAATGAAGGGGTTGGAGGAGAGGGTGGCATAAAAAGAAAGTGGGAAAGACGCCAGTGGGCCCGTGCACGACGGCGTCAAGTTTCAGAGAAAACGCGATCACGTGGTACGCGTCCACTATGACGTGCAAGCGCGATGCGTCTTAAAAGCTCGCTGTTACTAAGTGAGCGTCATTGCGATAGGTCAATATGCAGGACATGTTAGCTGCAGACTCTCTCACGGTAATGCAAAATGAGCATCGGGCGATAATTTTCGCCCTGGTGACGGCCCAATTAAAGATGGCAGCAACGGGTAGAGGGAAACTAGGGAAGGCCTGGCGCATATATGCAAATCATGAATAGGCTGTAGCGACACCAGATGCGAAATATACTACGCATGCCACAGGGCAGTTGGCTAATCCCATGGTATACTGCACAGTATCCTCGAATATCCGAGCGAGTCCCATCAATTCTTCCAGCTATGAGATGAGGTATTAGCACAGCGGTGAGCCGTCATCTGGAGGGAATACCAACATCTTGACAGTACGATCCCTTCCGCCGCTGACAATCTTGTCTGCAACAAAGTCCACGCAGTAGACCTCATCCGTGTGCCCAGGCAGGTCGGTCTTCAGCTTGTACGTCTTCAGGTCCCAGATCTATCGAGCAACACTAAGACCACGTCACCACGTCCAAACCCGGAGACACTCGCCTTCACCGTGCTGTCCTTGCTCGCGCTCACAAGCATCCGCGAGTCCGCACTCCACGTCAACCGATAAACCGCACCGATATGCCCTCGCAGCGTCGCCACGAACTTCCCCGTCCGCCCATCCCACAGGCGCACGCTATTATCCCAAGCCGCGCTCGCAGCCCACCTCCCATCCGGACTGAATGCGACGTGTAAAACCTGTCGCTGGTGTCCAGTGAGCCGCGCAATTGGCTTGAGCTTGCCCCCACGCTCGGCGGCTGCATCCGTTGCGGCTCCGGAGCCCATCCGCGATGGAAATAATGACCAAAAGAAGAGCGTGTGATCGTCGGACCCTGAGATCAGTGTCTCGCCATTGGAGGAGACGAGTTTGTTGTATCGCGCAAGCGCAAGCTTTTGTGCTGTGAATGATGTAAGCGATGAGTATGCAGACAATTTAAAGCCGAAGAAACGAGGGAGATATGACAGCGGTCTGATGGGTGAGGCGGTCTAAGAATTACCTTCGCTATCTGAAGCTGGCTTCTTGCCGATGTGATCAAATGGACCAGTCCGGAGCACGAAATCCGTGTTCAAAGTCAGCGTAGTGACCCAGTGAGCATGATCCTTCAACGTGTGGAGGGGCCTTCCCTACATGCAACCTGAGTCAACATACGCTGGAGATGATAATCTGAAAGTTACTAACCCGTTCCGCATCCCATACCCGTATTGTTCTATCACTCGAAGCAGTATACAGTACACCCTTCCCATCCAAGCCCCCGCCTCCCCATCGGACAACGTTCACACTCGCTGTGTGCCCGCCGAGAGCGTATTCACAGCGGCGGGTTGAAGTCGACCAGACGCGGACGGTTCCATCTTTTGACGAAGAAGCAAGTCGTGGAGCAGAAGGGTTTCTACAAAGTGTCAGCTGTCCGTATGGAGGCATTGGACAGCAACAACACATACAGATGAATTGGCTCCCAAGATAGTGAGGTGATCCACTTTGTGTGGCCCTTCAGAGCGTCACCTATCGGCTTCCCCGCTTTTGGATCCCATAGCCGAACCTGCTTGCTAGTCAGGACCGACCAACGACATTTGCTCAGCAAAACGTACATGTCCGTCATGTCCTCCTGTAGCCAGCTTCCTCTCCATCGCTTCCCACTCAACGCATAGAACCCAGCCTTTATGACCCGATAGTACATGTGATGGTGTCTCTGTGAACAAATCCCAAAGCCGAGCGTTGCAGTCGCCCGAGCCGGTAGCGAGGAGATTGCCAGTCGGCGAAAAAGAGGCGCAGAGGATCGGGGACGTATGGCCTGCACACGGAGGTCAGACAGACTAAAAAGTCTGGGAACGGTAAAATGGACGAACCGGCCAGTGTCGAGGAGCATCTTGTAGCAGGTCGTACTTTGAATACAGCCTGCGGGGAACAGCGAACAACGAAGACATCTTCTGGAGTGAAAGCTTGCGATGGATGGGCCAACACATCTTCCTCAATAGACTTTGATATCGCTATCCGCGTAGGAGCCCCCACTGTAGTCTCATCGGTCGGAAGGGCTATATGGAATGAGAACGGCACAGGGTCCTCGTCCTGAAGACAATATAAACGAACTGTTGAGCTAGCACGGCACAAAGCATACCTTCATACTCAGCTTGTTGACCAATGCTTCCAGCCCTTCCCTCGAGACGTTAGCAGGCAGGTTGACCGCGGGCGCAAGCGGTTTTCCATCCTCCTCCGAGACGAACTGCACGATGACGCTCGGCGATGGCTTCAGCGGTTCTGGCTCTGGCTCTGGGATACCGTGATAGATCTTCTGTCGTTTCGGAGGCGGTAACAGGGTCGCCATGAATGAAACTGCAGCGTCAACGAGGGAAAAACTTGTTTGAGGCGCGAAAGCTCGAAATTCTGAAGCAGCGATCGAGGTGTCACGAGGGTGATCGCACTGTGACCTCGGTACCGGATGCAGTAGCGCCCGTTTCTCCGCATATTGTACATCGCCGTCACCTCTCTGCCAGCCTTCGTACAACAGTCCTACCGCGAGCTCATGGTTATAAAGCTTTCTGTCATTCGATGTACGAGCTACACATCACGAGTAGCTACGCGGGCAGCTCGGCTGAAAAATCAGGGCGCGCCGACGTGAGCGCGCCGTTCCCATATGAGGCAGTTCTGCTAAGACGCATTGCGCAACGCCCTCCTCATGATCAATGATGCATCCTCATTTGTTCCTCCCGCTCACATCCATTCTCGACCGGATATAAGGCTGCAGCCTGCGGCCGGCTGATGTGTCGCTCCAACCCTATCAGTCTTCAAGCTGTCTTCCCTACTCCGCCTCACAAAGCATAACGTACTTAATAACCGCTCTTGGGCAGCTCCTCTACGTCTCGCGGCACCCCTGTCGACTACCGTGTCTTACAAGCAAAGCGAGATGACCATGAAAGCCGTTCCTCGACTGAGTCATGAGCGTGGCCATGCAGACCACGGGTGGCTCAAGACGTTCCACACATTCTCATTTGCAATGTGAGCTCCCCCCCTCACTGTGAACCTCGCTGCTAATTGACACGCATCCTACAGGTACCATGACTCAGATCATGAACAGTTCGGTTGCTTGCGCGTACTGAATGAGGATCGCGTCGAACCTGGGACAGGATTTGGCACACACGGCCATCGTGAATTCGAGATATTCTCCTATGTAGTCTCAGGCCAGCTTGAGCAGTAAGCACTGTCCATGTTCCAACGTCCTTCGCAGACCTCATCCGTCCTAGCCGAGATTCTATGGGAAATCTCGAGATCCTCAAACGAGGCGACCTGCAGATGACTTCCGCTGGTACCGGGATCCGTCACAGCGAGAAGTGCTACGGCGAGCAAGTACACTTTCTGCAGATCTGGAGCATGCCCTCCCAGTCAGGGTTGACGCCGACATACTACACGCGGTTCGTCGATATTCGCTACAAGCGGCCGTGATATGCTGATGATGCGTCAACTTAGGCACTTCACAGACGAAGAGAAGAGAGACAAGTGGGTACGGGTTGTGACTCCTGCAGGAGAATCTGGCGTCTCAGAAGCACGCGCCGCCTCCGGGCCGGCGCCAGTACACTCCCCGCTGTCGCTCTACGCATCCCTTCTGTCGCCAGCGGCTTCGCTCTCGCACACGTTCCCAACAGCACGAACGGGCACAACGACGAAGGCGTACATCCACGTCGTCCAGACGTCCGGATACAATCCGGAGGCGTCGAGTGGCGCCCGTGTGAAGATTTCGGGCGGAGACACGGCATTGGAGTTGAGTGAAGGGGATGGGGCATACATCATGGGAGAGGCGGGGAAGGGGATCCAAGTTGAGAACATTGGTGACAGCACAGCAGAGGTTCTCTTGTTTGATGTGGAATAGAAGAGACCGCGTTTATCTTCAATTCACTCCCCTTTGACATAGACGTCAGATGTGTGCTGCGTAACATAATCTGATTGTTGTAAGAATGCAATGGACAAGGTGCACGGGGTGCATAGTCAAACCCCATGGATCTCCATCCAGGTATAATATCTCATTGGCCCCACACATCATAGGAACGTTCGTCCCTTCGTCGAGACTACACCAGCGCACATGCATCAGCGATGTTCGCCCGAACATCATCGACCCCGAAAAACGGCCGCTGGCCTGCGCTTGTCAATATCATAGGCAGACAGGTCGGGGCAGCTTCGAAGATGCCACGGCGGATACTAGTCACCCTTTCCTTGGCATCTCTTTTATCCAGGATGCCGTCCGCCTTCGTAACGATGGCTTGCAGCGTAAAACTTGTGCCCCCAGATGCCTGGCACTGTTCGTCGAGCATGGCCAGCATGGCTCGGTCGGCCTCGTTCAGGCCGAGGATGGCGCTGATGAGAACGTACACCCTGCGGAGCCTGGAATGTGGTCAGCGGCATGGAGCTCACGCTGCTTGGTTCACTTACTCCTGCCGATTGGAGACGTAATATCTGAACAGGTCACCCCACTCTGGACGTCCTCGCGAGCCATAGCCAGGAGCATCCACCACAATCAACTTGCCAGGCTCTGCACCGACGAGGTAGAAATCCAGCGAGCGAGTCTTGCCCTACGAGCTTTCAATGCTTAGTTTCAGACGAGCTCTAGACCTCGAAGGGAAACTCACAGCTTTGTTACTCGTGGGCAGCAGGTCTCTGCGCCCCAAAACCGCATTCAGCAATGTAGACTTGCCGACATTCGCGCGACCTACGGGACGGCAGCGTCAGCTGGATTAGCACACCGCACTAGTTCCTGTGCCGAACCGGTCACAATGATCTGGGGTGTGGAGTGAGCACTGGCTGTCAAGGTACTCGGCAGATGGGTGATGGTGCAGTCGACGTACCTCGGGCAGGCCATGTGAAGCAGGTATGGATTCGGAATTCGTAGCCTTTGCGACGCACTTCGCCAACCCTGCATTCTGGAAAATCTTGAGAGCAGATTTCGCGGAATATCGTCTCTTCAGAGCTGGCCCCAGTCCATGTGTTCTCAGCATGAAGAATCAGCGGCGAACGCTGAGCGCTGAATCCGAGGCGAACACAGTAACGCCCACGCCACAGGACTGCACGCGTGATTTTGAACCTCCGATGATCGCGGTGCAGATTACGATCTGACAGGTTTGATCCGGTGGTCGTTGCCGACGGTGCATTCTCCGTCCAGTCTGCCAACCACGGATATCAGTTCAACTACAAAGTTCGAACTAGGATCCTGATACTATGTCACACTGCTGCTACCTGAGACGTAGGATTCGGTCAGATATTGATGTCTTAAATGCTTTTTCGCTGAACCTACCGGCGTCATCAGTTGGTCATCAAACCCTGATCGTGACATCTTGGAAATACCGCCCTTTTGATGAGCCTGAAACTTGCAAATTGCCACCGCGGCAGTGTTGGTTTCTGGAAGAGTCGCCGCCACTCACATATTCTCTGGCGTCATGCTCGTCTTCCTCGTGGACATATGAAGCTAGGCATGCCGCGCCAGCTGGTCTCTCGTCCGCTGATCGGAGGGTCACCTAAGGCCCTTTGTCTTATTTCGATCCGACACGGTCTCAGGAACCGGGGCCAGGCGGTGGACCAAGGCTACGGAGACGTGCATCATATCCCCAGCCAATCAAGTCCGCATCAAGAGAAGTGATGCAGGTTTATCGGAGAAAGCCATCTGACCAACCGGTCATCTCTTCTAAGTATTCTCGTTGGCACGAGGCTGACGGCCTAGCTAAACGATCTAGCTGTTGTCTACATCAACGTCTGTCCTTGGAATGCAACTATCGATTCTAAAACGATGCAAAGCGCCAGATGCGAACAAGGAGGCACGATGACTTTGTAGACAGACGGCGGTTGGTGGTCTCAAAGTATGTGCGGTCTGCGTATGGTTTGGTAATATCCGTCGGCTGATCATATAGTAGTCGCTATCTCATGAGACTCGGATAAGCTTCGGGCATCGAGTGCAAGGCGCTCTGAAATGCAAAGATCCGTAGAGCGATGCTCTTAAGTCAGCCGCTGATATCCCGGTGCGCTTGCCGGCCAGTACGTTTGATGCAATGGCCCTACACAATTTGACAAGAGAGGAATGGTACGATGCGTACGCGCTGCAGCTAGGCTCTATTGCCTCGGAATATGTGTATGGCGCTTGGCGCTTCCGGTTCATCACCAAGTACACAGAACTTCCACTGTTCACTTTTCAGGAGCAGAGCACAGGCTTCGGATCGATGTATCAAAAGACACGCAGAGCACAGCAATGTTCTCAAGCCGCAATGCCGTGCTGCATTGACAGTTTTGGTCAGTGCCTGAGCTAGAACACAGAGGTGGCATATACAGTTCCCATTGGTCCCGAATCTAGTTCACCTCAACTGAGGTCGAATGGGTTCCTTAGGATCACCCGGTGCGTCATCAGTCCAGCTGTCCAACGTCTAGTTTCTCCTGCTAGCAGCGTTAGGCAAACATACCTCGATTGGGACCCAATGCGGTCCTCATATAGCCTTTCCGTCTCATCGTTGAGCAGCCTTTTAGCTGTCCGATGTGATCAGCGCCAGTCGCCTGCGAAATATGACGACGGGCCACGCAATGAGGAATGTGTGATCGGAGAGAGGGAAAAGTCAGTCGGCCTCGCGACGCGAAATGCTGCCCATCGGACGCTGTTCAAGCACACTGAAACAACTCGTCATTAGAGCGGGCGACGTCCTCGTCCGGCATTACGAGTGACCCGGTCTCAGCGGGGCAGCTGAGAAGCTATCAAACATCTCGCACAAAGCCCAGAGTTCAGTTTGCGTTCTGAAGCCGTTCTAGTAACGTCCGGGTGTCCTTTCCGTACGTCCGGGACCAATTCATCGCATTCTTAACTCCATCGGGTGGGGGGACTTGAGCATCAGCTGCTTCTCTCGTCCGACCGCCACTGACAGGTACGTCTGCGGCGCTGGTCTCTCGTCTGCGTCTGGTGACGCATTCAAAAAAATCCGCAGCGTCCATTCAACTCCGTCGTGTAGTATAAAGGTCATGCAGAACTGCTGGAATCCCCCAGGTTCTACACCTTCAGCTTTGCGCATTCTCACCAGCTCATCCTCTACGGTCCAACAGCATGTTCTCCAAGTTCACCGCTTCACTCGTCGCCGTCGCGATCGCTCTCGTGCACGTCAATGCTGAGACCCACACGGTGACCTTCACCAACGAGTGAGTGCTGACCGCGGTGAGGCTTAACGACGTGCTCACGGACATCCCTACATAGTTGTGGTGGTAGTGGTTATGTTCGTACAGTTTCGGGTGTTCATTTTTAGTATACAAACTAAATTTGTTCGCCTAGCCGATCTTGAGAGCTCAAGACGGTACCATCTTGTCTACTGGCGGGGCGTACACTATCGACGGACCGCTCATTGGCGCCATCGCGTACGTTTCCACATATAGCCGTGTACGTCTTTCTGATCATTACACGGCATACGCACAGATATCTTCAAACCGGTGCGCACTAATTCACTGTCGGAAAGTGCCAGCTAATCCAGCTATCATAGGTGGCTGCGGTGATAACGGAGAGTATTGCACGCTGATCGAGACAACGCTCGAGAACGGAGCTAGCAGCACTGACATTTCTCTCATCCCTCCGTCAGTGGAACAATTGTCCCTGATTTCGATAAAGCTGACATAAGTGGGTCGACAGTCATGAGTTCTCAGTCACCAGCGGCTTCGGGTGAGCAGCACTGATATATAATCTCAAATAAAATTCTAATGCCCGGAAACAGTTACTACGACGGCTGTGACGGTGCTGGTGCAGATTGTAAGTTTTCACTTTGTGCTTTGTTCTTAGCTTTGCGGAGTAATTGAATGCATTTGATTCCCAGGCACTTACGCGGACTGCCCAACTGCTTTCCATTCATCCGGCCAAACCGGGGTGCAAGTGGCTTGCACAGCTGACAACGTAGGCGCAGCCTTTGAGGAATGAGCACGTTCGCTATGCTGACAGCATTGCAGGAGAACCTCGCCATCACGTTCTGCGACTAAGCGGAGAGGGTTGGCGTCGTTCAAGTGGGCATATGCTTCCACTGATGTTGTAAGAATATCAGAGTGTTTTGAGCCTCTTAGCGAGTGCCTGTAAGATTCAACGTTGTACTCTATACGTACAAAGTTCAGACCAAGATCTCAGCATGTAAAACATTACGTATCAGCGTGTCTACCTCAACAGTGAAAGAGCAACATGAACGTGATCTCATGAGGTCGCCGCTCGAAATGTTCAAATTCGATTTGGGCGTTCTCTCAAGCGTTTCATCTGGATCAAAACAAATCTGTCTCGCCAGTGTGTGATGTTGCGCTCGGACTAGGCGCACAGCCGCTGGCCATGGGTTCATCCATGCCAGTTTGCGATGATACAACTCATCTAATGAACGTGTGGAGTACTGATGAGTTCACACGTTGTCCATCATAGCGCTACATTCTCCCAGATTTGACTGTAAATCAAGAGAACGCTGAGCTCAAAACTTGACTCAACACGGCACCGTCTCACAGACTGCACGCATGATCTTGAAAAAGCTGGCCCCAGTCCATGTGTTCTCAGCCGCATGAAGAAACACGCGGCGGTGCGCGCTGAGCGCTGAGCGCTGCGTAACGGCGTAACGGCTCACGCCACAGGACCGCACGGGTTTTGAACCTCCGATGATCGATTTGATCCGGTGTCCGTCAGGCCGACCAGCCACAGGCCCTATTAGTCTGTTTCAAATTACCACCCTCACAGTGCAGTCTAGTGGAGTACGCAATTTCGGAGTTACCTAAGCATTTTTGCATCTCCGAAACGCGTCGATTGGACCTCGGATGACGCGTCGGTGGCTGAGAAGTGCGGTGGCTGAGGCTCATTGTAACATACATCCATTGAAAATGCCCTTCTTTTGCTCATAGCTGACTTGTACATTTACTTCTCATCACATAAACATGTTTAATAAAGAGATCTAGATCTCGCTGAGTTGTTGCACGTATGCATGCATTGAACTTAGGCATTGCAGGCATGCCTGATGGGATCTGGGGGAAGCCAGCGCTACGTCAACGGCATCATTCGGCATGTCTAGGCATTTCCATAACGGAATGCACGTGATCGAAATGGCGTGCTACACTACAGAAGGCGTAATTTGAAGCAGACCTTACACGGCAGACATGGTGCGATTTATCAACGTAGAAAATTGTGTGTAAATGTCGACTGAATTCTTACACATGCGACAAATATTTGCAACCACGGCATTTCATGTCGAAAATGTTTCACTTTGGCTGCTAATGTGCACTATTTGCCATTTACATGCTACATGGGCAAACCTTTGCCACAAATGTAAAACATCAGCCGACATTCCCACACCATTTTTCGCACTGATAAATCGCATCATGTCTGCCGTGTTAATATCGTACGTCGTCGCTTCCTCAGACGATTTTACAGGTCTGCCTAGGGGAGACAAAGGCCCTATCGAAATCCAGTATTCAACTGCACATAAAGTAGGATTGTGATATGTGCTGTTGCTAACTTTGAGGCGTATAGTCTTTGGTTTCATATCGGCGCCTTGATTGTGCGCAACGTTTTCGCTCTACTTTTTTGCTGACTCTGCCTGCGTCAACAGATGCTGACCAGTCATGCATAGTCCGGAAAATATGGCCCATTTGAGGAGCCTGAAACGTGCAAACTGCCCATGGCGCAGTGTTGGTTTCTGGACGAGTCGTTTCCGCTCACGTCACATTCTCTAGCGTTCCCCATGTAGACATATTCAGTTTTTTTCGCAACAAACTGCGCCTCCATCAAAATAGCTGGTATCTGGCCAACAGTGGTCATATCTTCCTTGTGTTCTCCTCAGCACGAGGCTGACAGCCGAGCTAAATGGTCTAGCGCATTACCTACATCAAAATCTGTCCTCAGAATGCAACTATTGATGCTAAAGCGATGCAAGACATCAGAGGCTAGCTATTGATACCGCCTACGGCAGTGAAGAAGGAGGCACGGTGACGTAGTTGACAGACGGCGGTTAAGATAGTGTCAAAGTATGTGTAGTCTGCGTATGGTTCAGACGATATCCGTCCGCTGATTATGTAGCAATCGTTATCTCATCAGACCCTCGGCGTCTGCGGGCACCGAGTGCAAAGCGTTCCGCACTCAGAGATTCGTAAAGCAATGATCTTAAGTCAGCCGCTGCTGTCCTAGTATACTTGCCGGCCGGGGACGTTTGATTCAATGATCCCACGCGATTGGCAAGAGCTTGAATGGTACGATGCGTGCTGCGACTACCTGGGCTCTATTTCCTCAGAATATTTGCGTGGCGCTTGGCACTTCTAGTTCATCATCAAGTATACATCGCTTATACAGTTGAATCTCACGGACGCAGAGTACATAGTCTTTGGATCGATCCATCAAAACAAAGTCAAAGAGTTCCGGTCTCAGCGCGGCATTAGGAAGCTATTGGGACATCTCCCACAAATCCTAGAGATCATATTCGTGTTCCTGAAGGCGTTCAATCAACGTTTGAATGTCCTCTCCGTACGTCCAAAACCAATTCATCGCATTCCTAACTCAATCTGATAGGGGGACTTGTGCATCAGCTGCTAGCCTCCTCCTCACGCCACCGATTAGGTACGTCTGCGACGCTGGTTTCTCGCCTGCGTCTGGTGACGCGTCTGGATAAATCTCCGAGCGTCCATTCTATTCTGTCGCTCAGTATAAAGGCCCATGCAGAACCGCTGGAATCCCTCAGGTTCGACGCCTTGAGCCTTGCGCATTCTCACCAGCTCATTCTTTACGGTCCAACAGAATGTTCCCCAAGTTCACCGCTGCGTTCATGGCCGTCGCGATCGCTTTCGTGCAAATCAATGCTGAGACCCACACGGTGACCTTCACCAACGAGTGAGTGTTGACAGCTGAGGCTTAACGACGTGCTCACGGACATTTCTTCATAGTTGTGGCACTGGTTATGTTCGTACAGTTTCGGGTGTTCATTTTTAGTATACAAACTAAATTTGTTCGCCTAGCCGATCTTGAGAGCTCAAGACGGTACCATCTTGTCTACTGGCGGGGCGTACACTATCGACGGACCGCTCATTGGCGCCATCGCGTACGTTTCCACATATAGCCGTGTACGTCTTTCTGATCATTACACGGCATACGCACAGATATCTTCAAACCGGTGCGCACTAGTTCACTGTCGGAAAGTGCCAGCTAATCCAGCTATCATAGGTGGCTGCGGTGATAACGGAGAGTATTGCACGCTGATCGAGACAACGCTCGAGAACGGAGCTAGCAGCACTGACATTTCTCTCATCCCTCCGTCAGTGGAACAATTGTCCCTGATTTCGATAAAGCTGACATAAGTGGGTCGACAGTCACGAGTTCTCAGTCACCAGCGGCTTCGGGTGAGCAGCACTGATATATAATCTCAAATAAAATCCTAATGCCCGGAAACAGTTACTACGACGGCTGTGACGGTGCTGGTGCAGATTGTAAGTTTTCACTTTGTGCTTTGTTCTTAGCTTTGCGGAGTAATTGAATGCATTTGATTCTCAGGCACTTCCGCGGACTGCACGACTGCTTTCCATACACCCGACCAAACTTGGGTGCAAGTGCCGTGCACAGTTGACAACGTGAGCGCAGTCCTTGTGGATTGTGCTCGTTCACTATGCTGACATTATTGCAGGAGAACCTCGCCATCACGTTCTGCGACTAGGCGGGAAAGATTGGCGTCGTACAAGTGGGCATACGCTCTCAACGATGTTGTATGAATATCAGAATGTTGTTGAGACTCTTAATGAGTGCCTGTAAGATTCAATGTTGTACTCTATACGTACTCAGTCCAGACCAATATCTTAGCATGTATTACATTCCGTATCAGCGTGTCTACCTCAGCAATGAAAGAACAACATGAACGTGACCTCATGATGCCGCCGCTCGAGATGTTCAAGTTCGATTCGGGCGTTCTCTCAAGTGTTTCATCTGACTCAAAACAAACCTTTCTCGCCAGTATGTGATGTTGCGCTTAGACTAGGCGCATGGCGACCGCCGACCATGGTTTTATCCATGCCAGTTTGCGATGATGCAAACTCATATAATGAACGTGCGGAGTACTAATGAGTTCACACGTTGTCCATAGCGCTACATTTTCTCAGGTTTGACTGTAAATTCAGATACTTTGTTGGCAATAACGTACGACGTTGAACGCTGAACTCAACTTCAAGGCTTTGACTCAACCGCGGCGGCACCGCGTCACAGACTGCGCACGCGATCTTGAATCTCCGCTGATCGGAGGGCTAAATGCAGATTTGCGATCTAGCACGTTTGATCCGGCGCTGCGCTCTGTTCGAACAGACCAATGACTGTTCCGCTACTCTACTGCTGCTTCAATTGATTACTTGTGTATTTATTACTCACGAAACTGGGAAGTTGACTTTGGATGAAACCCAGCATCTGCCGGCAAATCCAGTATGACTTTAACACTCTGTTTCATAGCTAACTCGAGAGCACGACTGGCATCAACGGTCGGCGACAATCATGGCACTTCGGAACAAACGGCCTTTGTGTCTGGCCCCTCATGATTGGCCTCAAGGCTAAGTTGCTCTAGGTAGTGAACGAGCTAATGGTCCTAACAAACGCCTGCATATCATGGGGGTGGTACTAGTTATTTGAACGACTTTACGGCCGCCCACGGTTTCTCGCAGCAATTCTCGAGAATAATGTCCTGTGTTTCATCTTTTTGATAGCGATCCCCCTCGTCAGTGGCGTTACTGTAGCTCAAGATCTAGAGTCAGGCGAGGACGATATTAAGGTGTGTCCATACGTGTTGAGCTTTCATGTGACTGCGTATCTTCTTCAAATTTCCGACGAACTAACAGTACTTTCTCCCACTTGACAACGTTGAGGTTTATCCACATCACAAAGTGGCAGAATACCAATAGCTTTGCGCACAGCAAAGACATCGTCATGCGACACGCCACTAGAAAATTGGGCTGATCCAATACTTTGGAGCCTCCGAGCGCTTGACATACCTCAGGCTCCCTAGTAATGCCCACCAATCAGATCTAAAGCAAAAGAGGCTCCGGAATTCATCGGAGCAGGATCGATGCAGTAACGTCAGTCTCAACCGTGAAAATCGGCACCTGACCAATCCACGATTTCGTCCTACATGACGCACCAGCCTAACAGCCTAGCTAAATCATAATAGCCACTGCCCACGCCAATGCCCATCTCTGGAGTGGATCCACTAACGTTGGAGTAGGGCAAGGCGATGTCGCTCGAGCCACTATTGACCAACGCTATGTCATTGTCGACGGCAGTGAACAAGGATATCCAACGCCTTTGCCGACAAACGCGCATTCAAAATAGTCTCAAGTGCGCATAGCTTGCATATGATTTAAACATTGGCAATTCAACTAATAAATGTCAATTCTTATGCCACAATCACCGTCTCCAGCAGATTCAGGTAAGCTTTACCCTCTTCGGAGACCGGGATCAAATCGCCTTCGAAATTGCGAAGATCCGAAGAGCAAGGACGTGCGGTCAGATGCCGCTGTACAGGCGCTCTCGTCCGCCGGCCCGAAAGATGGATGCACGCGCTTCGTGCGCATGACTCAACGTGTGCGGTACACCGCGTGCTAAAGCCCGAAGCTATCTCTCGAAACTTTTAGTGGCGCCACTAGCTCATCAAAATGCATTTAGGACTTCTAGCGTCGCACCTGTCGGAGAGGCAGAGCGCACGGTAATTGCAATGCGTATGCGTCATAGGAAATTTCAGAGCATAGCAGTGTGCCGTGATCACCATGCCGCGCTGCATCGCCAGTGCGTCAAGAAACTGCCACTGCCCGAGCTCGGACGTGAGGGCTGGATGCCCGTTTCCCAATCTTCCGAAGCGCAATTATTGTATATCTGTTTGAATAGACTAATCATATGATGTAGCGCATACTAGACCTGAAGGGCTCCTCAGGCTAACAGTCTGAGTATTGCGCCATATGGAACGGACAACAATAGCCGTGAAGCAATCTGCCATGTACGCCTCTCTATGCTATGTTGTGGTACTGTCTCTAGACAGCCTTGTACACGCCGCAGTTGGGCGGGTCCATATCTGTCCAATATGCCCAGGTTTGGCTTCCACAGATGTGACGGAGAGTCGCGCAGCGAGGAATCTAAATGGGCCAAAGATCGAGAATTCTTCATCTCCTTAACGCGCTGGTAAAGCCCTTTAGGCGCCATTATCTTAACCATTGACAAATTCATCAATAGAACATGCGGCACTTGCACCTGGCGTCCCGAGCGACCCAGTCTCAACGGAGTCCCCAGGAGGCTGCCATCGGAATAGCTCGCAGAGAGCTCCGAGACGAGGATCATTTCATGCGCTCCTGTAGGCTGTTCAAACACTACCTCAGTTCCCCTTTGGTGCGCCCATGTCCTTTCATCGCCCCGCTAACTCCGTCGGAGTAGAGACGTGGACGCCAGCTGCAAGCCGTGTCCGACCGCCACTGACAGGTGAGCATGCGGCGCTGCTCTCCCGACCGCATTCGCTGACGCATCCAAATAACTGCTAGTGTCCTTTCCGCTTTGCTTTCCAGTATAAAAGCCATGTGCAACTTGTGGTGGTATCCATCCCCCACAGTTTCTACACCTTCATCCTTGCTCACTCTCAACAACTCGCCGCTTTATAGTCAAACAACATGTTCTCCAAGCTCACCGTTGCATTCTTGGCCGTCGCGATGGCTCTCGTGCAGGTCAATGCTGAGACCCATACTGTGACCTTCAACAACAAGTGAGTACTTACCGCAGAATACTTGCCAACAATATGCTCACGGAGATGTCTTCGTAGGTGTGGCCGCGGCACTGTCAGTACATCTGCAACAATTTTGGGACTACGATCTGAACCTTTTCATTTAGCCGTACTTGAGGGCCCAGAACGGTCAAGTCTTGTCCACTGGTGGTGCTTACACTATTAGCGGACCGCTCATTGGTGCCATTGCGTATGTTGTCACATATATTGGTTCAAGTTGTTGCTGATGAGTACACCGCATGCGCACAGCTACCTCCAGACCGGTGCGCACTGTTTAATTAGTCCAATAACACCGACTGATCCTATTTGCTGCAACAGGTGGCTGCGGTAATAATGGAGAGGATTGCACGCTCATAGAGACGACGCTCAAGAACGGATATAGCAGCACTGATGTTTCTCTCATTCCCCCGTAAGTGGAGTTCTTATCGACGATTACGGCGAAGCTGATGTGGATGGCATTCGGCAGCCACGAGTTTAATGTCGCTGCTGGATTCGGGTGAGCAGCACTACAATTCAATACAGAATATAAGAACTTGACAGGTGGAAACAGTTACTATGACGGCTGTGACGGTAAGGGCGCCGATTGTAAGTACAATTTGTCCCTTGCATGGAACTTTGCAGGCTGACACTCCCATTAAATTTTCAGGTACTTCCGCGGATTGTACGACTGCTTTCCATACGTCCGACCAAACCTGGGTGCAGGTTGGGTGTGCGGTTGACAATGTGAGCGAATTTTCGGAACGATGTGCATGGTCGCTGCTGACACCATTGCAGGAGAACCTCGTCATCACGTTCTGCGACTAGGTGGAAAGTATTATTGCTGTTCTGCTAGGCACTCGTCAACCAGATTCGTTTCGAATGCTTCATGTAGTCCAACCTCACAGTATGTAATAATGTTGATGTTGTGTTACATATAAACATAAGGTTCATCTATGTTGACTGGCAAGACACTGAGTCGCACTTGTCCAAGTTCTACAGTTCTAATAAGCATGTGAATGGTAGAGATCACGAGTTCGCAGATCTGCCAGAGCGTTGTAGACGATAATCTTATGCTGTTGACCCGGCCATCTCACATTTATACTTCTGTACGTTGCAAGTAACGATATTCTTTGAGGATACTCTAGTGGCGCCGATCCTCGCTCGTGCTACCGAATGAATACAACCAGATTGGGTGGCTAGGTCTAGATAGGTCATATACGATGTACTATCTTCAGCACGGTCCCTGCATCGTCACATTAACATTCGATATTATGAAGATTCGAGAGCTGGGGTCGAACCTCGTGAGCTGAGGTCTATGGCACCATTCCCCTTCTCCCTCCACCCCCTTTCAACTTGATGTGACGTTTAATAGACTTTAGTGCAATACATGACTGATTATTATGTGGACGTTGAGGACTCGTCCGCGATACTTCAAACATCCAGAACTCAACGAAGGTCCCAACATGGAAGCGCTTCCTGTACGAGTTTTCGAAGAGGTAAAACGTCCATACAGCTACAATGATTTAGTAGACTTGCGCGGCGTGCTTTCATACGTTGGCACATATCAACATTCTATGAGAATCATTTATATGCAGCTTGTCTGACTCACCTTCAGGGCATATATATGATATTTCCATCACGGCACCCACCCGATTGTCGAAGCCATACAATGCGCTTGCTTACCTAAGTCGCCGAAGACAACGCTGATAGCTTTCGCAAAGTATATCCTTTAGCGTGAAGATGAAGTTCAATGTACCGCGGCGGCCGAGCGCTGAGGTCCAAATGCGAGCGCCGCGCCACAAGGTGGCACGCATATCTTGGCTCTCCGATCTTCAAGACGCAGATCACGATCTGAACAGGTTTGCTCATTGCGGCCGTTGCCGTCAGTGCGCTCCGTCGATGAACCAACCATGATTTCTCAAAGAACTCTTCTATACACTGCTGCTTCAGTAGAGGCTCCGACTACTCGTACTTATCTCTATCGTAGCTAAGGCATTCACCCTACAGCTGAATCTCGGTCAAAATCTCGAAGACATATTCCTCCTTGCGCTCTTTTACACCGCATGATCACGATCAACAACAGTCACTACTGAGCAGCCAACTGTGACACTCCGGAACGTTAGGATTCGCCTCTGTCTATGAACGGCATGTCTCAAAGCTAATTCCGCTCGAGGAAATGAACCAATTTGACGCTAGCAAGTAGCTCAAGGCGGCGGTGACTAATATTGGTTTCAGATGAGTCGACAGTCACTCGCACGTCTGCCGTGTATTTTGGAGACAAGTGAAATTAGACATCATTCAGTTGGTGTTTCATGTATTGACCGATCAATGCTGTGATTCCCCTCGATTTTGGGTCACCAGCTGAGTGGTGTTTTTTGCTGTCTCGGGATCTCCGGTCACGCAGTGGTCCAAGCACGCGGCCGAGGTATGTGGATATGCGTGAAACCATCATGATGAGAACCTTCGAACGTCATCCGCGTATACTGTACTCCGTTCACTAACACTCATGGGATGCCTGTTGCGTTCTAACTTCTAAGTACAGCAGAGTGCCATGGACAAAGTTATACCTTCATGTCGCTCCGTTCAAGTGATGTCATAGAGCTCGCTCAGTCGAGACTCTACTTACTCGGCACCTTTCCAATCAAATCAAATCTACAACAAGAGAAGTTCCGAAGGTTTATCGGATCAGGATCGATGCATCGGACTCGGGCTCAACTCTATGAATTACACCCGATTTGTCGACCAATCTGCTTACCATTCTCGTTGAACGCCAGTTTGACAGCCAAGCTAGACGATCCGGTCATCGCCCACATCAACGCCTGACTTTGGAAGGCAACCGCTGGCGCTGCAATGATGCAGGACGTCACATGCTGTTCGGCTGATTGTACTGCTGGGACTAACAAAGGACGCCCGATGATTCTGTCGCCATGCACTCTTGGTTTAGTCTCAAAGTGCGTGTCGTTCATGCATAATTCAGATGGTAGTGACTCAACTATTCCATTCCATCTTTCATTTAATAATCACTGCCCCATCACACTCAGATGCACGTTGTTGTCTTTAGAAACCAAGATTGACTCAGCGCTACGAATCTGCAGAGACACGAACAGCAAGGACATACAGAAAGACGCCGCTACCGATGCTATCGCTCTCTCCGGTCGATGCATTCTTCGCGAGCGGCGCGCTGCATGCTCCAGCCAGAAGTTACCTCCTCGAAACGTGTACCGGGCGCCTCCGCCTCACTAACGTGTACATATAGCTTCTAGTGTCGCACTTTTCGGTGATGCAGAGCGGGCGTAATCACTTGGAGCGTAGGCGCATCATAGAACATTCGGCGCACAGTAACCTCCCGAGGTCATTAGCGTGTCAATTGCCATTTCCCAGGCCAGGACGTCGCAGCAGCGGTACGCCTAGTTTCCACTCATCTAGAAGCACATTTATTGCATATGCATTCAAATGTGCTTCGTAAATGATGTAATGCATTATCTGTATAAGCTTCTCGCGCGCGTTATACCTCGGAGTATCTCCGACCGGTAATCTGATCCATCCGCTCTACAGGACGGCCAATTATGGCCTTGTGGCCATCAATCGGGTGCGCTTCCCAACGATACGCTCCAACGCCGTCTCTAGGAACGCCCGTTACCTCTTCCCTCCAAACAGCAGTCGTGATTTCAACGACGCAGCCAACTGTAGACGCCTCTGTGGTGTCGTCTTCATCCACTTCCCCACGAACAGCGCCGAAGTTAGTCTTATCAGCCGAGCCCGCAGTTGCATCTTCTTCCACATCCAGCACGAACAATATGCCTACCGCGTTGACCACTGCTGCTGCTGCTGCTGCACTCTCAATCATATTTGCTGTTGTATCTGCCACGTCACCGAGCGACATCGACCAGTATCTGTCCGACCAGAATACCGTTCGTGCCCAGCATGGCGCTGTAGCCTTGACTTGGAACGACACGCTTGCCACCGCAGCGCAGGAATGGGCTAACGGCTGCGTGTTCGAGCACTCTGGCGGCAAGTTGGGACCTTACGGGGGTGTGTAATCAGTGAGGCCCTACATATCGAGTAGTTCGCTGACACTTCCTTCTGCCACAGAGAACCTCGCTGCTGGTACGGGCAGTAGTTATGGAATTGCAGCGGCCATTAAGTCTTGGACCGACGAGGCTTGTGAGTGCCTCCGCACCACAACTCTGCATGCAGCACTGATTTTACGCGGAACCTTGCCAGCTCAATACAACCCTAGTGACCCAGTTGCGTCGCATTTTACTCAGGTGCGTCTCTCCTTATTTCGCGCCTGTCAGTCCGCATGGGGTTCATGTGAGGCTGGCATAGGTTGTATGGAAAGCAACCAAGCAGGTCGGCTGTGGTATGCAAGAGTGTAACGGGATATTCCCTGCTAGCTATGGGGTGAGTGCATGACTGCACAAAGAGGGTTGTTGTTGATGCTGCTCGCATAGCCTGCCAAGTACTACGTCTGCGAGTACTTTCCACAAGGAAACGTGGAAGGAGAGTTTAGGTGGGTGTTTAAACACATATCTACCGTCGGAAAAACGAGCTTATCGAGCCGAACTCAGCGAGAACGTGCAAGCGTGAGACTGAGGAGTTGAGGGGTATTCGTTCTTGAATCTTCGACTTGCAACTATGATACAGTGGGCTTGTTTGAGCAATTGTCAGCTGTACCTTGTGCATCAGGAAAATCCAAATATTGCTTTTTAGCCTCCTTTGGAGCTTTTTTCGGTCCAAAAAGGGCATTAAGCCCGAAAAGCGTGGGGTTCTGCGCTTATTTTATCCTTTTCCATGGAAAAGTCACCCAGAAAGCGCCGGAAAGGTCACGAGAATTTCGGTTTAAAGACATTAAGCCGGAAAGCCGAGCTTCGGCTGATTGAGATGCAGCTGGCGGATCAATGCCTTTTCACCATCCTTTCGAGCAAAAAGCTCTCATAAGGTTCAATATCAGGAGATCCTCGCGCTTTTCTGACACTTTCTCTCCTTAATCCTGGGAAAAGGTGACAAAGGGAGGAAAAAGATAAAGGTTTCTGATGCTGCTTGCATCGTCATATGTCATAGTTGTTTCAATCTAGATATACCCGCTCGAAGTAAGATGCACGACTTTTCCCCCCGAATAACAGAGTTTATATTGGCTATTGACACGGCGGACCCAAATATTACTGCTATGTGTGCAAGAGGTCTGGCATGCGTCGCGGCAGGTCGCGGCATGTTGCCAAGCTCAGGCTTCACGGGCGCTACGACGCCTCGCCCTAGTATTTCATCCAAAGTCTCAAAGTGCGCCTACTGGTAGCTCGCATATGGTTTAGGCATTGGCAACTCAACCAATAAACCCAAGTTCTTCTTCCACAGTCACCGTCCCCGGCAGACTCACGTAAGCTTTAGCCTCTTCGGAGACCGGGATCAGAGCGCTTCGAAACTGGAAAAATCCGAAGAGCAAGGACGTGCAGTCAGATCTCGCTGTATTGGCGCTCTCACCCGTGGGCCCGAAAGGCTGGATGCGCGCAATTCGTGCGCATGAGCTAGCGGTACGCCGCGTGCTAAAGCCCGAAGCTATCTCTTGAAAGTTTTAGTGGCGCCACTGGCTCATCGGTATGTTTTCAGGACTTCTAGCGTCGCACCTGTCGGAGAGGCAGAGTGCACGGAATTTGCAATGTGAATGCATCATAGGACGATTCAGAGCATGGCAGTCTGTCACGGTCGCCATCCCACGTTGCATCGCCAGTGTGGCTGCACGCCCGATTCTCAGTCTTTCGAAGCGAGATTGTTGTATATCTTTTCGAATGGGCTGACCATATGATGTGGCGCGTACTAGACCTCAGATGGTTCCCCGCACCAATAATCTGAGCACTCTGCCCTATAGAACGGACAATACCAGTTTTGCAGCAATCTGCCGTGTGCGCCTTTCTATGCTAGGCTGTGGTACTGTCTCTAGACAGCCTTGTACATGCCACATTTGGGCGGGCCTATGTATATCTATCAAATATGCTCAGGTTTGGCTTCCCGAGATGCAACGGAGAGTCGCGCAGCGAGCAATTCCTAATCAGGAGAAATATAGAGGAATCGTTATCCCTTCAAGTTCGGATACTACGCTGGTAGCTCCTTTAAGCGCCATTATCTTACCATCTATAAAATCATCAATAGAACACTCCATCTGGCGTCCCGAGTGACTCAGTTTCCAGGAGGCTGCCAGAATAGCTTGCAGGAGAGCTACGAGACCAGGATCATCCAACGAGCTGCTATAGGCTATTCAAACACTACCTCGGTCCCCCTTGGTGCGTCCATGTCCCTTCATCACCCTGCTAACCCCGTCGGGCAGCGCCATGAACGCCAGCTGCTAGCCATGTCAGACCGCCACTGACAGGTGAGCTTGTGGCACTGCTCTCTTGACTGCACTTGCTGACGCTCCCAAATAACTGCCATTGTACTTTCAACTGTGCTCCCTAGTATAAAAGCCATGTACGACTTGTGGTGGCATCCCTCTCCCACAAGTTTTTACACCCTTCAGTCTTGCACATTCTCAACAACTCACTGCTTTAAGGTCAAGCGACATGTTCTCCAAGCTCATTGTTGTGTTCTTGGCCGTCGCGATGGCGCTCGTGCAAGTCAATGCTGAGACCCACACAGTGACATTCAACAACAAGTGAGCACTTCCCGCAGAATACTTGTCAATAATATGCTCACAGAGATGTATTCTTAGATGTGGTCGTGGTACTGTCAGTACAGCTGCAACGTTTATGAGACTGGGGATCTGAAGCTTTCCATTTAGCCGTATTTGAAGGCAAACGACGGTCAAGTCTTATCTACTGGTGCTCCTTATACTATCAACGGATCGCTTATTGCCGCCATCGCGTATGTTGTCATTAATAGCTGTTCAAATTGTTGCTGATGAGAACATGGCATGCACACAGATACCTTCAGACCGGTGCGCACTGTTTAATTAGTCCAATAACACCGACTGATTCTATTTGCTGCAACACGTAGCTGCGGTAACAATGGAGAGAACTGCACGCTCGTCGAGACAACGCTCGCGAATGGAGCTAGTGGCAGTGATATTAATCTCATTCCTCCGTAGGTGGAATACACATCCATGATTACGACGATGCTGACATGGATGGCATTCGGCAGCCACAAGTTTTCTGTCGCTAGTGGATTCAGGTGAGTATAATGCCGAATAAGAACCTGACACGTGCAAACAGTTATTATGACGGCTGTGACGGTGTAGGCGCCGATTGTCGGTACAATTTATCCCTTGCACGGAATATTGCAGATTAACATACGCGTCCGATTTTCAGGCACTTACGCAGATTGTTCGACTGCTTTCCATTCGCCCGACCAAATCTCGGAGGAGCTTGTGTGTACAGTTGACAATGTGAGCGTATCCTCCGATTCGCCGAATAATGTGCGCGCTCGCTGCTGACACCATTGCAGGAGAACCTGCTCATCACATTCTGTGACTAGATGGAAAGTATTATCACGGTTCTGCTAGGCACTCGTCACCCAGATTTATTCCGAATGCTTCATGTAACCCAACAATAATTCTCGCAGCACGTAGTGTAAATGTCGTCTTAAATATACATCAGTATAAGGTTCATCCGTATCGACTAGTACTACGGACAAGTCGCTACGTGGCCTGGTTCTGCTGATACAAGTCCAATAAGTGTGTGAAATCTGAAAAATTGCACTACTGTACGCTGGCGGTGATGTTCTTTGAGGGTGTTCTGATGGCGCTCCTCGCGTGGGCCGCCGATGGGACGGAACCATATTAGGTAGGTAGGTGACCGGAGGTCTAGATAGTAGGTCACATACGACTACTTCAGGCCGCGTCGTCATGTTCACGTTTGATGTTATTAAGACTCGAGAGCCTCTGGGCGGTCGAAGTTTTGCGAGCCGTCTGTGGTCTAGTAACCTCCCCTCCCTTTCCGACTTGACTCGATGTTCAATAGACTTTGTTGCAATGTATGACTATAGTATTATGTGGACGTTTGGACCGAGTCGTCCACCGTACCTCAAACATGGAAGCACTTTTCTTTACAACCTCCGCCACATCTCGCTTTCGGGAGTTTAGGGGCGGCTCAATCCTATGGGTGGGACACTGTGGGACATCGTGCTTCATCCCGCCACCTCAGCCACATTTTAGATCCAAATTTATAACTCAGGCCAACTGCAAGACGGCACGCGTGAGTTTGGATCTCCGATTATCAAGACGCAGGCGACTGCCAGTGGTGCTGTGAGTCCCCTCGATTTTGAACCATCAGCCGAAAGGCGTTTCTTGCCATCTCGGGAGACTGAGCCATGCGGTGGGCCGAGCACAAGGCCGAGGTATGTGGATATCCGTTAAACCGTCATCATGAGAACTTTGAATGCCAGCCGCGTGAACTGTGATTCCGCTCACTAACACTCATGGGATGCCTGTTGCGTTCTAAATATGGCAGAGTGCTACGGACAGCAAAGATATATCATCATTTCGCACCATTTAAATGATGTCATGGAGCTCGTTCAGTCGATACTTCGGAGACTCGACATCTTCCCAGTCAAATCAAATTTACAACAAGAGAAGTTCCGAGGGTTCATCGGACCAGGATCGATGCATCAGACTCGCCGGGCTCAACCCCAGGAATCTGCACCTGATCAGTTTATCATTCTGTCTTACCATTCTCGTGTGAGCTAGGCTAGACGATCCAGTCATCGCCCATATCAACGCCCGTCTTTGGAGCGCAGCCGCTGGTGCTGCAATGATGCAGGGCGTCACATGCTGGCCGGCTGATTGCACTGCTGGGACTGACAAAGGACGCCCGACGATTCTGCCGACATGCAATTCTTTGCGCAGTCTCTTGAAAGTGCGTGTGGTTCGTGCATGATTTAGATGGTAGTGGCACAATCATTCCATTCGGTCCTTCATCTAACAATCACTGCCCCATTACACTCAGATGTATCTTGTTGTCCTTAGAAATCAAGATTGATTCAGCGCTACGAATCTGCAGACACACGAACAGCAAGGACATACGAAAAGACGCCGTTACCGATGCTATCGCTCTCTCCGGTCGATGCATTCTTCGCGAGCGCGTGATTTGCGAGCGGCGCGCTCAAGCCAAAAGCCACCTGCTCGAAACGGGGACCCGGCGCTTCCGGCCCACCAACGTACACGCAGAGCTTCTAGTGTCGCGCCTGTCGGCGAGGCAGAGCGCGGTAGTACTTGGAGCGTAGGCGCATCATAGGACATTCAGCGCACAGCAATCTTCCGAGGTCATTAGCTGTCAATTTCCATTTCCCCAGCTAGGGCCTCGCGGCAGCGGCATACATAATTTCCACTCATCTAGAAGCTGCCTCGGAGTACCTCCGACCGGCAATCGGATCGGTCTGCTCTGAAGGATGGCCAATTGTGGCCTTGCGGCCATCAATCGGGTGCGCCTCCCAATAATGCGCTTCAACGCCGTCTCCGGACAGCATTGTCCTACTCATGATCACGTAAGTTCTGTTAATTGGATACATGAAGGCTCAGCTTTGGTCCGCCACTAAATGTTACGGGTGTTTGTGCGACGAGAAGCTTCTGACAGGAAAAAGGGGGAGGCCATCGTTTTTGCGAGTTCGGACACTGTACGGTAAGTTCGTCTGGCGCTTTCTTTCTTACGTCGTAGATCGACCTTAGAATGAGCAGTGATTCCAACTGGCCATCTGGCATTCCGAGTGCCCATGCTCAGCGAGGCATCCACATTGCTACCAGAATAGGTCGCACAGAGCTCCAAGCACAGAATCACATCCATGAACTGTTGACAGACTGTTCAAACACTGTCCCGATGCCCTTCCGTGCTCCCGCATCCTCTCCAATGTGCTGTTAACTCCATATGCGGAAGGACTTGATCATCAACTTCTAGCTTCGTCCGACCATTGACAGGTGAAGTGCTCATTGGGCTGCGTCTGGTGATGCGTCCTGATAGTCGCTGGTGTCCTTTGTGCCCTGTTTTTTAGTATAAAAACCATGTAGGATTCGCTGGCATCCACAGATCCTACACCTCCAACTTTGTGCATTCTCACCAGCTCTTCGAATAAGACCGAAAAAGATGTTCTCCAAGTTCACCGCTGCATTCGTCGCCTTCGCGATCGCCCTCGTGCAGGTCAATGCTGAGACCCACACGGTGTCCTTCGCCAACAAGTAAGTACTGACCGTTAGGATACTTGTCAGTAATGTGCTCACGGAGATATCTTCACAGATGTGGCCGCGGTACTGTTCGTGCAGCTGCAATGCGTCTAGGTCTATGAACTGAACCGTTCCGTGTAGCCGTACTTGCGGGCGATGAACGGTCAAGTCTTGTCCAATGGTGCTAATTATACTATTAACGGACCGCTCATCAGCGCCATCGCGTACGTTTCAATGTGCCGCTATTCGAACAATTGCTGACGAGCACTTGGCATGCACACAGATACCTCCAGACTGGTGCGCACTATTCGATCAGTGCGAAAGCACTGACTAATTCTGCTTGCTGTAACAGGTGACTGCGGTAACAATGGAGAGAAATGCACGCTCATCGAGACGACGCTCAAGAATGGATATAGCAGCACTGATATTTCTCTCATTCCTCCGTAAGTGGAATGAATGTTCGCAATTTCGATGAAGTTGACATAGATGACATTGACAGCCACGAGTTCTCTGTCACCAGCGGATTCGAGTGAGTAGAACTAACATACTACTTGAATAAGAGCCTGACACGTGGAACCAGCTACTACGACGGCTGCGATGGTCAAGGTGCTGATTGTGAGTATTCAGTCCGTTCCTTGTCCTAAGCCTTGCAGAGTGAACGAACACATTGAAACGTCAGGTACCTCCGAGAACTGTACGAGTGCTTTTCATACGTCCGACCAAACCTGGGTGCAGGTGGGGTGCCCGGTTGACAACGTGAGCGCGATCTCAACAACAGAATGTGCATGTTCTCCATGCTGACACCCTCAAAGGAGAATCTCTTGATCAAGTTCTGCGACTAAGCAGCAAGCATCGTTGTACCGAGATCCGCGTTCCGTCTAGATGTTGTGTATTTCGAGCGCATGTACTGTAGTCGATAAAGTCTTATAGGACGGAACGCAGTCGTGCTTCTGTGTGACAGCCTCAGTCCGAATACAGTTTTCAAAATATATGACAATGATTTCTGAAGGCAATGTCGCGGTAAGAAAGCAACTTATGTTGCGCCGTCAAGTACAACTAAGTCACTATTGCTTACGTTGATTTAAGCCGTTCCTTGTGCATTTGTCACCCAAGAAACGATAGCCATCGCTATCATCGGTTCATTCTCTGGAAAATCGCTCAATTATTCTGACTGAATGTAGCCGCGTACGCCGTCGAGAAGCGGCAAGCGCTCAAACTCATTAGTATCCCGTTAGACCGTACGAGGCACTTTCGGAGTTACGTAAGCGTTTTCATCTCCGAAACGCGTCGATCGGATCTTGTACGACGCGTCTACCTCTGCATCCACCTTCGGTTCTGTTTAGTACCCTATGATCCTCCAAGTCTGCATAGAACATCCAAATTTTAATTGATGACCTTTGCATATTCACAACTGTATGCCATTCTCTACATTTCAAACTCATATGACATATTCAGCAGCTTCATGACAGGGTGTTAGGTAACCTTATTCACTAATATAAGGAGAGGAAGCCTGCTGGTTTCTTCGAAAAAATCATGGCGTTTGATCCAGAATAAATGTTGATATATCTACATTGCTCATTTGCATCCAGAGACATCGCAAGCTGCAGGCCTCCTCCGATGTGCTATGAGCTCGCGCTACCGTCCGGAGAAATCCGTGAGACATGACAGCGGCACGTCGTCGGCTTCATGCGGCATGTCTCGGCATTTCCTAATCGAGGCGACACATGTCTGTGCTACGGTCTGACAGGCGTGAATTGAAGCAGACCTTTATACCTCCTGACCTCCGTCCCTCAGAGAGGGAGGTATTTTGTTGTCTGCTTAGGGGAGACAAGTTCGTAGTACTATACCAGCGCTAACACTCGCCGTGATCGTTCAAGCTACTGCCAGTGACTCCCTTCGGTCTAGTCTGGTGATTGCATCGCAGTGATACTACGGACTACTCCAGCCCGTTCAGGGTCTACGCCTAACATCCGCTGATGACGTTTCCTTTCTTCCGGCGAACGATGCGATGCAATGCAAGCTGTGTATACAGGCTTCTCTCAAAGCATCATGGTGCCGCTGAGCGCATGAGATAAACCCACAGCCGTGACGTTGGCGGCGTTCATCATGCACGACTCGAGGAGGACTAAAAACGGTCGAGATGACTTGGCATCACGCAAATTTATGTTCTTCGTTGTCTGTTCTCGACAGCCTGAGGGTGCGTTTACCACTATTCTGTCACCCGTTTCAGACATGCAGCGACATTTCGTTCAAATTTTGTCGAATATGCAGGCTGATTGCGACACTCGGCCCAACGGAACAAGGATGACATCATGTATCAATCGACCATACCTTCGGAAACGCCTGTGTCCACATAAATATCAAACCTTACAAGCACAGCTTATCCGATACGTCGGAATGGACAGACACTTTTTACGGAGTCTCTGCCGCGGAATGATGCAAGTAATGCCACCATCAGCGTAAAGGCGGCACTGACAGCTGCCCAGATGTGCCTTTATTTCTCGCACTTGCCGGAATATCCTCCCGACCGCTGTAATAGACGCACATGATGTTTGTATAATTACCAGCTCATGAAATCGCCCTGGGCTGTCTCAAGTCCCTGCCCCGCCTCACCTGCCTCTACTTCCCAGGGACTCACAATTCATTATCCACATTCCAATGTCTTTAAAGCCTTTGATTGCCTTTGTGATAGCTGCTTCGGCATTCATTCACGTCATCGCCGAGTCTCACACGGTGACATTCGTTAATGAGTTAGTGTATGCCATCGACGATGTCTGCGCTCTACTAACATGCTGGGCCACACTTCTAGTTGCGGATCTGGAACTGTAAGTACAACAGTCATCCTGAACTTGGAATGCTTTTAAAGTGCTTCTACACAGCCGTATTTGCGGGCTCAAAATGGCACTGTGTTGTCCACTGGAGAAGCGTATACAATCAATGGGCCCCTTGTGGATGGTTACGCGTGAGTTCGCCCTCGCTCAGACAGTACAGCACCTTTGAGCGATGATAACTGATGGTGTATTTCCTATGCGTCCAGTTATCTTCAGACCGGTGAGTAACGGCTATGTACGGTCGTGTCCCGCTGCTGAAGTAGCCTTGTGAATGCAGGTGCTTGCGACGACCAAGGAAATAATTGCACTGTCGTCGAGTTCACACTGCAGAATGGAGACACTTCCGCTATAATTGATCTCGTTCCCCCGCAAGTCTCCTCTTCTCCTATTTATCAAATGACTCTGAAATAATTTTGGTTTCATGTGTAGCCATGTGTTTTCCGTAGCAACCGGATACGGGTAAGTGGTATGAATGAGAAATGAACAGTAGAATGACCTGTCATTTGCAGCTTCTACAACGGCTGCGATGGCGATGGTGCAGACTGTCAGTGTAATATCGCAAGCATTCGTGCTGACTCGCTGAATACTGCCGAATTTATGTTACTTAGGTACTGTTGCCGATTGCGCGTCTGCATACCGTGGCGGTGCCGGGGTATATCCAGCCATCCCTTGTGCTGGTGATAATGTGAGTGGCGACGTTGTTATACTTGACTAGATGATCTTACTTCCTGCAAAGGTGGATCTCGCGGTTCTGTTCTGTGACTAATTGGACCGTTTATACCAATCCTCTCGACGTGGGCATCTGCTAGTATAAGTCGTTACGTAGTGCAACACTACTATACGGCGACAGCCAGTCAAATCATTAGTATCCTGCAGAAGCTGATGCTCACGAAATTTCGTGTTCTCGGCCCTCCCTGCTCGGTGTGTCAGCGCGTGCTACATATTCAGCAAGAAGAACGCATCCCTGCGAACGAATGTACACGCATTTACTCAACGATACCTTGATGCCCAAAATCTATACAAAGGCCGGGATCGCATGGTGTTCTCGTCGATGCAATTCGAAAGGTTATGAGCCTCACAGATGCTGATCTTGAGCCCTATAGAAACGACGCTTAGTAAACGTCAAGGATGTCATCTCTGCTCTCACCGATGCCCAACTGCTGCAAGAAGTCAGCTGAAGGCGGAGAATGACAAAGTGCGTGATGGCAGCACCGGTGATACATCTCATGATGAATGCAAAAGCATATGCAAGACGTCATATATGATCGTACGTGGTCACCTTGTATTCGATAAAAGCTGCTATCCCCCTTGACCTCGGCTTCCTGGCAAGATATGTACTAGTCTGTCGGCGATATTCAGCTTATCGCACAAATCTACAATGCTTTTCCGACTCGAGAAGTCGTGTCGACCTGCATGCTGTCTACGGCGCTACTTTCCGTCAAATTTGACTAAATGTAGAGCAAGCTTTTTGAAATCCGCATGTCGAGAAAGTCCACAGTGCTTCCTCAAGGGTGCTGTGTTGCGAAGGTAATACAGAAGCGCTTTTGAATAATGATACTGCCGAACGTTAGGAAGCAGAACGCCTAAGTAGCCGCGAGAGTGACTCTTACACTTGGCCGTCAATGTGCATCCATGCTCCCTAACGAGTCGTCCGGATGCAATTTGTCTGATTCAAGCCATCTTTAGCACGTCAGTCACGATCCATCGCGACATACGAATATATAACCGATGCCACTGGATTATTTTGGAAATCGCCCTACCTCAATTAAAAAAACGACCACGCAGTGCCATTGCACGTTACACACCCGCCGATCTGGAAGGTTGCCGTTGCCGGGTGACCTAATCGTTCTGATCCTGTTTATAAAAGCTGGGTAGCAACCCAAGTTTCTGAAGGTTCAATCGTCGTTGCAGATATCGCAGCGCACCTATCGCCACGAATCCCGCTATGTTCTTCAACGTGGTCGCTGCTTTTCTTACAGTCGCTATAGGATTGATACCAGCCAATGCTGAGACGCACACCGTTACCTTCACAAATAGGTCAGCGGCAGCTATGGGGATCTTGATATTGCTTGCTGATGGCCTTTCACTCCACAGATGCGGTTATGGCACTGTCAGCTAACATGCATATCTTGAGCGAGCAAACAGTGACACTCTACTCATGTAGCCGTACCTGAGGGCGGAAAACGGGGCTGTCTTATCTACCGGCGGTGCCTATACCAGCAACGGACCGCTCATCGGTGCTATTGCGTAAGCCGCCTAGTATGCGCTTAAATGCTCTTTGAAATAACGGATGCAATTGTGCATAGCTATCTTCAGACCGGTAAGCATATTTTCATACCCAGCCATGTGTCGCTCACTTCAAGTGTTGGCCGGAAGGTAACTGCGGCAATAATGGAGAGGGCTGTACGCTGGTCGAGACGACGCTCGAGAATGGGAGGAGCAGTACCGATATATCCTTGGTCTATCCGTCAGTGACGCTGGAATTCCCGAATCAAACGTTCGGGCACTGACGCGGACCTTTGTATGATAGGCATGAGTTCCATGTGACCAGCGGCTTTGGGTAAGGAGCATCGTATTTCGTCGTTGATTCTTTCGTCCTTACAACGGAGGCTTCAGCTACTACGGCGGCTGTGACGGTGCTGGAGCAGACTGTGAGTGACTATATTAACATTTTCTGGGACCTGAGATTCCACATACGATCTGTCCTCAGGCAAGAGCGCGGACTGCGGCACCGCCTTCCACCATTCCGGCGACACTTGGGTACAAGTTGGGTGCTCTGCTAATAACGTGAGCCAGTTGCGAAACGATATGAGCATTCTTCAGACTGACACCGTTGTAGGAAAATCTTGCAATCACGTTCTGCGACTAGCTCAAAGAACAGCTCACCGTCATGAGTATTGTGATATAGATCTTGAAAGCAAGTGTACTGTGACTAAACAGTATTCAATGGGAACAGTGTTCAATGGCTTATGTTCATGCAACCATTTGATTTGATATTTGCGCACATTCTCAAAAATGAGATGCTTGCTGAAACCGGCAGTCTTTCTCCTTGACTGTCTCCCGCGCTAGACATTCCTCGTCGATCGTCCACTGCTCTCGCGAAAATCTAGTTCTATCGCTATACATAAACATTAGAAATTTACAATACGCAACCGGCGAGGGTATAAGCAGCGAGAGGAGGTATCTAAAGTCAGAGCATATACCCGATTGTGAGTGCAGATGGCTGATCAAGAACATGTTTATATGATGTCCACGATTGTGGGCCATAATCTGCATACATTGTTAGTAGCACGAACGGATGGACATGTCAGAGGACTGGCGCACCCAAGGAAACCCACGAGCGTTTGCAGCAGGCCTGCGAGAAACGGCATCCACCTGCGAACCAACAGCAGTCAGCATATGGAACGAGCACTAGGAATCCAACGTTCTCCTCACGTAGTCATATTGAAGTGGCCAGCCTTGTAAACACCGGCAAGGACGTATCCGACGATTGCCGAGCCTATCACAGCCCCAGCGAGTGATAGCGCGGTGAATGTGATGAAGATGAGAAAGGCAAAAGTCAGGCGAGACCTCCGCTCGTTGGGCTTCAAGCGCGCGCGGTAGTGTGCAAGCGCAGCCATCGCATCGGCATCAAGTGGGCGGTTCTGGTCAGGAGGAATCATAGAGCGCGGTGTCATTGGAATTTCGTTGACTGTGATCGTCGGGGCGGCACCGAAGGATGTGAACGGGAGGTTAAACGTCGGTCGCGCACGATATGTTTCTCGGTTCTCTCGTTTAGGCGGGAAGGAGACGTTAAAGAACGCATATATACCACACAGGATATATGCGGGCATGTAAAATATCAGCGTCCAGTACAATGTGAACCGGAATATTTCTGGCAGTGGTAATTATGAGATTTGACACGCATCTGCTACAATAAGGCAGACACGACTCACCATGCGCGTCAGAGAGATAAAATCCTCCACGTTGCACAGGTGCTCTGTTCTCGATTGGCCAGACCTCGATGACCCAGTTGTAGAGTGATGGCCATGATGATGGAGTATTGCCGGACGACGATACGCCTTGCTCAGGGATCAGATGCGCTGCTCGAGAACGCATCAACGCGCGAATATAATAAGCCAGTTTTTGCTAAGACAGTAGTATATCGTCGTGAGGACAGTCGCCGTTTCATGATTAGTTTGTGGAGTTCGTTCATAGGTGCGGTGGCTGTGCCACCCTGCGCACGCCACCGCTACATGCCGAGAAAGGCAACTCAATGACTTAGTGACCTTCAGCGAACGAACTTCATTGCAGCAAAACAAACGGATATGATTCTCCCTTGCTCGTCATATCATACATAACAAACACAGAAATTCAATACATGTTAATTATTTCTATTTCACCTCACAGAAGACTGTCTATCGCTGACCAGGAAAGAATTGAGAGTCGTACGTGACCGTCTTCACCGACTCATCTCTCAGCACTCAGCCGGCTTGAACCACTTCAACTGCACAGCGACTAGCACCACGGGCAACACGCTGACAACCTCGCCAAGACCGGCATACGCAGGTGCGATGCGCGCGTTGACGAAAGCACCCGCAGCAAACAGGATGGCGACCAGGTTATACACGGCCGACCACGCGAAGTTCAGCATGATCCTCCGATTCACCGCCTCTGAAAGCTGGAACAAAGCAAGTATACCGTCAAGCGACGGGTGAAGGAGCACCACGTCTGCCGCGCTGGATGCCGCGAAGCCAGAGCCTCCTTCGGTGTGCAAGTGCACGCCGATGTCAGCCTGTGCAAGGGCGACTGCGTCGTTCGTCCCGTCGCCACAGAAAAGCACCTTCTCTCCCTTGCGCGTGAGCTCCTTGATGTAGGCTTGCTTGTCTGCGGGCATGCACCCAGCCTTCACCCGTTCTGCAGGCACTTCCAACGCCGATGCGACCTTCTCCACTGCAGATAGGTGATCGCCACTGAGGATAGACACATTGATATTACGAAGCCTGAGCTTGTCCATCACCAGACGGGCCTCGGGACGAAGGGCATCTTCAAGGCCAAATGCGGCAATCAGTTGGCCGTCGTAAGTCACGCAAAACGTCGTCAGGCCCTTGAGAAGTAGAGGAAGCACAAGCGAATGCTGCTCGACCTCCAGCCAGCGAGCGCTGCCTCCGCGCAGCATCGCACCAGACAACTTGCCCTGAATACCTTGGCCTGTAACTATCTCGACATCGTTCATTTGAACGGCTCCAAGCACCCCAGAGGCCACAAGATGCTCAACTACGGCACGTGCAACAGGGTGCCTGCTGGACTTGGCCAACTCAACCACAGCAGAACCCACGTCCATGCCGGGGACATCGCAGATCTCACTGGTCATGAACGAGAGACTTCCTTGAGTCAAGGTTCCCGTCTTGTCAAACACAACATGTGTGATCTTCCGCGCAGATTCGATAGTCGTTGCAGCCTTGAACACAAGGCCCTGCTTAGCGGCCACTCCGCCAGCAATCAATATAACCATCGGCACAGCCAGACCTATCGCACACGGGCAGGAAATAGCCAGCACAGCAATTGCGTACGTCAACGCCGTCACGGCAGCCTCGCCCCCGGATCGCTTGCGCACCGCAAGTCCAACCGCGAGCCAGACAAGGAACGTGACGATCGCGATGGAGAGTACGACGGGCACGAACCAGCCGCAGATGCGGTCAACGGTCGCTTGCACCTTCGCACGCGAGAATCGTGCGTCGTCCACCATTTCTGCTATGTCGCTGATGGTGTTATCCCCGGGCAGACGCTCAACCTCGATGTACAGAATGCCGGATCCGTTCAGCGTGCCCGCAATGACATTGCTACCGGCCGTCTTCTCGACGGGACGGGACTCGCCTGTCATCATCGATTCGTCGACCTCGCTGTTCCCAGAGCGCACGATCCCGTCCGTAATGATAGCCGAGTCAGGCAGCACCTTGAAGAGGTCGCCATAGTGCAAAATACGCGCATCTACGTCCTCCTCCTTTCCATCGGCATAGACCAACGTCGTGATGTTCTGCTGCAGAGAGCGGATGGAGATAGCTTCAATAGCCCTCTGGCGTGCGAACGCGCTGACCAGCTGGCCGAGCATTATAAGCGTCACCAACAGCGTGCTGGTCTCGAAGAATTCGCCGGACGCAAGCGAACGTCCCATCATCTCAAACGCGAATGCGACGACGGAGTATACGTAAGCAGCCGTCGTGCTGAGCACGATCAGTAGATCCGTCTCCACGATCCGCGAGAAAAACAAGCTCTTGAACGCGCCGAAATACACCGGACCTGTGATTGCCGTCTGCACGACGGTCGCCAGCACCAGTGACGCGACCGCGTACGCGCGCGGATGCGCAGGAAGTGGCGCCCACGCCATGATGAGCACCGGGATGGTGAGAAGGGCGGAGCTCACGGTACGCGCGGTAAGCGTCCGGATATGCTTAACACCGGCGATGATGCCAGGATCGCGGGGCTCCGGAGCGAGCAGCGGGGAGAAGGCAGAGTAGCACGCGATGATGTCACGAGCTCCGATGGCTCGGGGGTCGTAGACAACCCTCACAGTGTTCTTGTCCGCCCGCACGGTCTTCTCAACTCCATGCGGCAGAGGCATCTTCACGAAGGCTCCGCACTGCGACTTGTCCACGCTCAGACACAGCGCCCGTGTCGAACCCGCACCGACGTTCTCCACCGAAAACCCTGTACGCTTCTCGATCAGCTGCACAAGGGCTTGCAGCTCCGCTGCACTGTTATCGAAATCGAACTCGGCGCGGCAGAGCACGAGGCTCGTCTTGATATTGCAGATTGCGGGGATCGCGCGCAGGACGTGGATGACTTTGTTCTCGCAGCCTGTGCATGTCATCCCGCGGATAGCGAGCACTGCGTGCTCGTTCGGGACGCCAAGTCCTTCCTCCAGCGTTGTCGCTTCGATGCCTGCGATGGTACTAGCGTGTTTCTCCCCGCAACTGTCCGCACATTCGTGGGATGTATCGTGTCCACTCCTGCAGCACGAGTCGATTGAGGAGCAAGAATGAAGAGCCGTGTTATCTTTGCATCCTTTCTCGTCGCATTCGCCGCAATGACTGTCCTTGCAGCAAGAGTCCACGGAACGACGGCTCTTGATTGAAGCGATAGAAGACGCATACTGGGAGCGCGATGAACGTGCGAGTCGAGAAGTCGAGCGGCTCTTATGCGTGTGCTGGGTGGTGCAGCAGGATTGCAAGCCGTGGGCGAGCATGGCCTTGCAGATGCACCCGAACGCAGCGAGCGTGTCTTGATAGCGCTTGCGAGCGAACGACTTGTGCTGGCCACATGCCTCAGTAGGGAGGTCGGCCTGAGTCGCTTCGGGGCCGGTGCGGTTGGCATGTCGCCTCCGCAGGCCTATATGCGCACAAGCATCGTCCTTGGTATGGACGTGAGCGATAATGGGACTTCCTTCAGCGATCTTGTGCTGGTGTTCATCGTGTTGCGAAGTAGTTTCGGACGAAATATGGGAATCTGAATCGAGAAGTGTCGGTCAATGATAAAAAGGACTCGAAAGGCCACAGTGCTTACCATTGTGGTCCTTCTGCTCCGAATACCCGCAGCAGGTAGTGCAATCGCTCACAAAGTCGTTCAGTGCTTCGCTCTTGTCATCATGATCGTGAATGTGACCAGCATCATTGGCACAGATAGCCCTTGCAAGCTGATCCAAGCAGGAATCTAACCAGAGCGATCGCCGTGTTCAGTCGCGACATACGAATCATGTTTTCAGCAGTATTGGGCGCGACATCCCAACTCACCATCGCAACCGCAGGTGTTTCCAGCACAGCAAGAATCGATCTGCTGTAACTCAGACTGCTCAGAATGACACCGATTCTGGGAGATTTCGGTGTCTGCGTTCCTAAAAACCGTCTGATTGTCAATCGCGCCTGCCTCAGCTCGTCCGCCACAGCAGGAGCCGGCCATGATGGTGATGTGTAGCAGGAAGGAGCGATGGGAGCGATGGGAAAGCTACGCGAACGATATCCTAGTCGGGGCGTGGTGGTTCCCCAATTCCGACTTGGCGGAGCTGGCCGTCCCGTGTACTTCCGCCACACTGCAGCCACGCCTCAGCTTCGCATCAGCCACGTCCTACAATCGCTTCCGTGCATCTAGGTATGGACCCCGGCCGAGCGAACGAGCCCATCTCTGCGCGAAGCGAAGCATTTTCCGATAGTGTAATGATGCGGATTCCTTTTATGAAGCGGAGGCGATGAACGCATGCTTTGTCCGAGGGTTCGCACTAGGACGGAGATGAAGCGCGGTGGAGAAAAATTGTGAGATTTCTCGCTGTTTTCGAGCAAAGCGATGAAGATGATGGGCGCAGAGAGGAGACGTTGAAGACTGCCAAACGATTTTGTACGGTGATCTATGCGGTACTCAAACGTGCAGCACCGCTGCGGTACTCGCTTGCATATAGCGCGCCCGTGCGCGTGCTCCTGCCAGGTCCTCTTCAGCCACAGCGCTGTTCACTCGTTTCAGTATTCCATCTTCACGCCCCTGTCGTATATTATGCATGCTCGGCTTTTACGTGAAGAATTCATGAGTGACGAAATGGAAGACTATCATTTCGGTAGAGCTATACGCAACGGACAAGATTCAACACTATTCGAGCCGGTTTTCAAAAGACGGTCACAAGTCACCGCAACCATGTATTACGGGCTCATCTTTTGCTATGGCTTCTCGAACATATAACGCACACTTATTATGAATCACAATATCACCGCCACGCTCAAAAGTCGTCAAAGGCAGTAGCTACTGCACTCAAACCGCGATCAAGCATTCCACGCTTCGGTGGCAATACCACCGTGTCCTTAGAGGCAAGCCCGGAGCTTGCTATACCCGCTGACCCGAATGCATAGATGCACAGATATCAGGAACATCACAGTGTAGTTATTCAGCACTTCATCTTCCTGATGTACGTATGGTGGCGGATGTTAGCCACATCAAGGCGGAACGACCCACTCCCTGCATTCCTTCTTCCCATGTTACATCGCCATGACCATCGCAGCTGACCAGTGCCGACTCTAGCATGCGCTTCAGGCTTGAGCCTCCTCAGTACTAACCTGCAAAGGCGTAGTCTCTGGCGAGCCATTCATTTCAATCTCACGGATGTGCAGCTGCGCTATTCCATTGAGCCCGATCTCCTCGAGTCGACTTCTTCGCAGAGCTTATCGACTCCGGAGCCGACGCGCTACTATAGTCAGCTCTGAACCCTGAAACAAGGTTTGTCGCATTGGCCAAGGGGCGCAGCGCTATCGTCTGGGAACGGCTCGAACGGGCTTGGCTAGAGCTTTAACGAGTCTATAGCGCCGTGTACACGAAGTACAAACAGGGCAATAACAAACACCATGGAGCTCCAGCAGACATGGGAAGACAACGGAGTCTGTCCGCTTCATCCAACCCTTCTGGTGTCCTCCGACTGACTGTTCATCTCCGTTGCCTTGTATCTCAATTCTCTTCGGGTCCGGTGGAGCACACTAGGAAATCGCTGCTCCCTGTTAGGCCGACCGCTGCTCACGGATGGGAACAGCACGTTGCGCGTCCGATGATGAAGTGTGGGAGGCTGTCAGCTGCTATGCACTGAACACGACAGCCTTTGCGCGGTCGCTGCATGTCGTGTATACGGTTTCCACCCAGCTCCTCAACCTCGCCGCCTCTGGAGCTTCGTTCGTCTCACGCGCACAGCGCTCGTCGCGAAGCTCCGCGATGTGCGCAGAGCGCTCCCGCGCATGCCTTCTCAGAGCTTCGCACGACCGGCCCTTCCATGCAGCGCTCAGCAAGCTCCGGCCTCTCGCAATGATTGCAAGCAAATGCGCGTAGTCATTCCAACGGCTGGCGCCTCTCAGTGGCTTTTCCCTGGCGTGCATGGGCGAGCGCTCGGCCACCTCAATCTTCCGTCTAGGATTCTCATGGCTGTTGTATGGGGAGCTTCGTAAGGCTCAAGGTCTCATGTCTCTTGCTCATCCCATTGTCGTCGCGGTGCCGACTGCACGGTGATAACCCGTTATGTCTCTGGGCCTGACACGAACGTAAACGATTTACCGCGTAGCAAGTCGACGAACTCGGGCAATACTTCTCAGGTTACAATTCCCCAATTATCGACCTCAGGAATTCATGTGCTCTTAGAGTACTTCGCGTAGCGCCTCCTCGCGCATTCCTCCTTGACTGTCGTGGGTTTGGGCCGGTAACCGCTGGGAGCGTGTGTCTGCATGAGACTTTCCCAGTCCCGGTTGGCGCCTGAATGGCTGTACCTCATCTCTTTGTGTGAGCATCAGCGTATCGCCTCCGCACGGCTCTGCGCCTGGACAACGCACGACTGCTCTCGATGGCCTCGTCCAACGGCGATCATGCATTCGTATCGACCATCGTGGGTAAACGAACTGTCTGGCCGGGTCCTTGTTCAAGAACATGCGGGGGAAGTCGGCTTTGATGGAACTGGTTCACATCTGCGGACAGGGGTTCAAGTGAATATACGGATATCTAGGTTGCAGATGCTCAACAGAAAGGCCGTGGCTGATGTGATAGATATCAGTCGCCTCACTGCCCGCCCGCTCTCACACATACAGGCCTATCAGCCTTCTCTTCCATTCGTCGCCGCGAATGCGCCCTCGACCATGGTCCGAAGCTCGTCTGCCACAGTGACGCCTGCCATGCGCGTTATTATTGGACCGTGGGTACGCCAGCGCACAGCTTGCTGGGCTACGCACAAGCACATCACCGGGCCGGTCCCTCAAAATCCATGATCGCCGCCGGTAGGTTTGTTGCTTCAAACGAGGCGAACCTCGTCTTCCGGTCGACAGTTGCCGCTTTGGTATTCTCCGATCGTGGATATCCGCAATGACACATACACATACTGGTTGACAGCGTCTGGGATGTTCCACAGCCTTACAAGCTCTTGCGGGCAGGCGACGGCGTTTACCTTCTGTATAGTGCCATTCGCCTTCGACGTTCCCAGAGTATTTTCAGAAATGAGGGTATAAATTCATAGATAGCATTCATAGAAGAAAAGCGTCCGTACGGTATCTAGTCGTCTGCAAAACGCTTCACTGCATGGAACTAGGTATGGATGGCAGTCACAATTCGAAATATTGAGTCACCAGATCACCGTAGTACGGCATGCGGGGTTGTGCGCCTATTCTCGAGGGGCACGATCCGATCGTGATGCGTGGTCGAACGCTGAACACGTTCACCTCGTAATAACCCCGATCCTCGTGCAGTCATCGTGCAGAATTAAGCGATGGGCGGCACTGGTGGCTTCTTACATTATATGACTGAAGATTGACCGAAGTCTTTTTCTTACGCGACACGTTGCAGCACGTCGTCGGCAAGGGAGAATTTGCCTCGCTTGGGAGCCTCACCGCACGAGCGATTGTTCATGCAGCGTCTGAATTACATGCTGTGGGATTCCGACCTGGTCTTCGATGACACAGCTCCCGACCGAACCACCTTCGCAGTGTTCGCAAGCTCATCGGCTCCACTATCATGATTTGAATCACGGGCCTGTGTCAGGGTTCAGATATGCCAGTTGCCATCAGGCGATGCTGCGCTTCACTCGTACAAGGGCCATCATGTCGCGTTGGCCCAGTGCACTGGGCATCGATGGATGCGGTTCACATCGGGGCCACCGCGTCAGTTGTGCGTGATCCACCGGTGGCCCACGGGGGAAATCAGTTGACATGACCTATCGCGAACAGGACAAATCCAAATCATCATCATCGCAAAAATCACAGCAACAAATCAGCTAAGTCGCTGTCGATGTGACCGGGCGGCATCCCGGTTGTGGTTCCGCTCGGAAGTCAGTCGACGTCAAGGGTTCGAGCGGCAATGATCATGCAAGGAGGTTCATTCAAGCTCAAGCGCTCACCTTCTGCAATTCGATGCATGCGGCTAGTAGAAGCTCTGAGTGTAATGAAGCGTCTTCAGAATGCGATATAGTGTTTGTTATGAACCACACGGCGTGCGCGTCCATGTTTGGCGCGCTCCACATTCGTTCCCAGCTCATGAAACTGCTCTGCAGAAGGCGTGCCCCGCCGCAAGGATGCGGTAGGATGTCCGCTGAAATGCACGTGATACGGGCCGGTAGCCGTAATCCCACTCTAAAAGGCCGTCGCTGCTTCACAGGTTCATAACGCGTTGGAGGCTGGAGTCGAGTACGCTGAGACACTACGCGCGAGGCATTATTCAACATTCGCAGGGGCGTTGTCTTGAGCGGGGGAGCCTCGATTGCGTTTTGCTCGCATTGTTGTTGATCATGCGCGCGACGAACTGGAATCTTTACTTTGCCAATTGGCATATAGCGAGTGAATACTGATCGTATCGTATCTCAACCGACTCCGCCACGTCTATCGTCTTATCAGTTCTTAGCACCGACTTTGTGTCCAAAACCGGGCGACTGCGCAACCAGCGCACCGCAACAAATGAAACTCTCATCCGTTTCCAAAGGATCGTCCGGCGTGAGTTCCCCGCTGAGCCTGCATGGAATCGCAAACCCTCTCGTGCGAGACGAACTATAAACCGGTGAGATCGCGCTGCAACACCCTTTGTTCTGCGGTGACGCTCCGTCGACGTCAACAAACACACACTGCGGCGCATGGGTGCCTGGCCTGGACCGCAACCTTCCTGCCACGCTGATGCCGTTGCGAGCTGGAGGCTGGGAGTTGGAGTCCGTGCGCGTGCCGCACTCGAGCTGATTTGTCCTGAAACGAACGTGAACTCCGCCGCGGATGGAATGGCATTAGCGGTGCGGCGGGTGCGGAGACAGAGACGATGATCATGAATTAGTTTAGTGGTGAGCCTGAGAACGATGCCCACCGATAAGCCTGAGACGGACTGGGACGGAGAGCGAAAGCTGTGTGCGAACCTCCGTTCGGAACGGTGGAATGCAAGCTAAAGACAGGGCGAGGAACATGCTAGCCCGGCCTACTAGCGCGCCCGTATACGCTGTGAGAGTCCTGCGAACCTCGTGAGCTGTGGGGAGGCCTCGGCCATTCGTTCCGGCAGGCAGATGTATGTCACTGCCACAGACCGCAACGAAAAAAAATTGATGTGATGAGAAAATTGGAGCGAAAATGCCAGGGTCAACGTGGTTGACGGGAGAACAAGACCAGTGGCGTCTCACTGCCCATGAGAGCGCGCCGCCCAGGGCATCATCATAGTGATCAACGACAGCGCTACCCACTCTGAAACCGCTTAGGTCGCTGCCACCAACGTGCCTCGTCAGAGCCCATGACATATTCGTATCGTTCTCCCGACTGAAAAGTAACCGGATATACGGTGAAGGAAGGCGAGCGTGTGGGGATGTAGCGCTGAGAACGCATCCAAGACGACGAGCCCGGCTCGCCAGCGCAATGGCGTGCCAATTTAGGCGTTGCAATTCACAGGACTTTCATGTGCAAACAAAAATTAATCGGAAGTGTCGCAAGGCTGACACCCTTCCTTGACTGATCGCCGTCGTTAGCACTGCGCGAGGTCCGCGGCCATAGCACGCACGACGTTCTCATCTTCGACTTCCATAACGCTGACCATCGTGCAATCGATATCGCTAACCGCGCAGAACGCAGAACCGAGCACTAATGGCCATGAGACCGCCCGAGAAAGGGCTGTTGTATGTATAAACACATCGGTACTATTACAGGGCCGTACAGCGACAGCGGAGGTAGTGGAGTAATAATTTGATGAATTATAAGCGATTCGAACACGCAGTGTCGTAGCGGTAGTCGGCGTATATAGTACAATTATACGGGCGTACGCATAGTAGGAGGCCAGGGTCTGTCATGCTGAAGTATCCATGCTATGCAATGCCGTGCCATGCGGGGGTATAGTGGCACGAGAGGAATGACGTCGGCAGAGCGGCTACGGACCATGCATCATGCTTCGCATTCGTATTCCACGGCTGTCCGACACGCGTCGTTAGATGATGGGCTCTGCGCGTGCTGGCGCAGGCCCTGCCGCGTGGAGAAAGACGCATCACAGGCTGGACACGAGTGTGCGCTCAGCGAACTTGGGGGCCGCGGCGCTGATGATCGATAAGAGCTCGAACGCGACCGTTTCGACGAATGAGACACCTGCAGAATGTAAGGTGAGAACGGCGGGGCTGGTGTAGATATTTTCCGGAATTTTACGCACCATATCGTCATCGTATGATTCGTCCTCCGCGTCGTCGGACTTGCGCTTAAGCGGCAGTG